GCTGAAATCACAATCAACGGCTTATCTTGAGATAAGATTCAGAGTACTACATACTTGACTTCTACAAGCACGGAACGGCAAATGCACCTAATAAGATTTAGATTTAACACATCCCCCAAGCCGTAAGGTGTTCTGGGGTTTACAATCACAGAAAAAGCTGGCTGCCATTCGATGCTCTGCCACCTCGACTTTCTCCACTCACTGGCCTGCCGACAGCTGCTGCCGAATCAGGCCACCTGGCACCCAATAAAGGCAGGTGGCAGAGTGGGTATCGCCTCGATACGCTACTCATCACCCTCTGCTTATGCCATTGCTAGCGTCCCTGCGGTAAACATCGCTGTTACGGTCGTTTCTGCTGTGCACTTGCTTTCCGATCTTTAGTCGGTGCTGCCGGCGCTGGCGTCCGCAAAGACTTATTTGTATACGAAGGAAATCTCGGCAGGAGGAAGCCATCAACAGCTAGGAGCTGAAAGCTCGGCCTGGAGCCGCCCGGGGCCACCGGGGGCAAAGGAACAAGGTGAGGGAGCGCGGGGGAATCAGAGCTCCGGGGCAAATCTTTCGGGCGCCAGCCGCCTCTCCCCGGGGCCCGAGCACAGCTCCAACGACCCCTCCTCCGGGCAGCTGCGGCACTCCCGGCGGCTGCGGGACGAGAGAGAGTAAGAGGAAACACCTACAGAAACCCTCCTCCCCGCGGCCAACTCACCATGGTAAGGAGCGGCCCCGCTCCCGCCGGAAGACGCTCTGGGAGCTGGTGTTTCCCTAGAGCGGAAGGGGTGGAGCATCAGAGGCCCATTGGCTGCTAGCGAGGCGGGGACGGAAGTGTGTGCCCAGGCTTCCGGTTCCCACACCCCCTCTTCTTCGCCGCCCTTGCGTTCCATAGAGACGGAGGAGCCGGCTAGAGCGACTCCTAGCCTTTCAAGGAGTGGGATGGAGGGTTAAGATCCGAAACTACTAGGTCTCAACCACGGGTGGCATGCAGCTGTCATTCTGTTTATCCCTTCAGTATGGAAAGGTTTTACTTGACTTTCATGACAGTGCCGCTTTTGGAAATTACACGGCAGTTATTTTGTAGCGTGCTCCTGCGTAAATTCAGGTTATACATCTTGGACGGGAATGCTACAGAGGTGATCCTGCATTTTTCTCATTGAACCCATTATTGAAATGTGGCCCATTGATAATTTTCACCATTAGATTAAGGTGACATCTGCTATATTTTTCCACTAAAAATATCTTTCCCTTTCTAATTAATATTTTGTGGAGGTGTACTTTTTCTTTTTTAAAATGATAACCTTATGTTGTTGTTAATCCTCACCTGAGGCTATTTTCCATTGATGTTTAGAGAGAGTGGAAGGAAGGGGGAGAGACAGAGAGAGGGAAACATAGATGTGTGAGAGACACATCTTTTGGTTGCCTCCCCTACGTGCCCCGACTGGGGCTGGGGATTGAGCATGCAACCGAGGCATATACTCTTGATCAGAATCGAAGCCCGGATTCTTCAGTCCGCGGGAGGGCGCTCTACCCACTGAGCCAAACTGGCTAGGGCTGGAGATGTACTTTGAAACCATGTCTCTCTCTCTCCTAATCCTCACTGGAGGATATTTTTTCATTGATTTTTAGAAAGAATGGAAGACAGAGAGAGAAACGTCAATTGCCTCCTGCACAGCTCCAACTAGGGCCCAGGCCGGAGAGGAGCCTGCAACCTAGGTATGTGCCCTTGATTGGAATTGAACCCGGGACCCTTGGGTCTGCAGGCCAATGCTCTGTCCACTGAGCCAAACCGGCTAGGACAGTATCTCATTCTTCATCACACTTTCAATTAGTTCTTATATATATGTATATATGTATAATTTACATAGTATTTATATAGCCACATTGGCTTATGGTTTATTTTACCTGATGGATTATAATCCACTACTATAATTACTTATTTTGATGTTCAAAGTTGTCCAGTGGGAGCCATTCCAATCAATGATTCATCCATACCAATCTTTTTTTAAATCTTCACCCAAGGATCTGTTTTTATTGATTTTAAAGAGAAGGAGGGAGCAGGGGGAGAGAAACATCCATCGGTTGCCTCCCCTCCAGGCCCACCAGGGATCAAACCCGCAACCTAAGTATGTGCCGTGACTGGAAATCAAACTGGGAACCCCTCATGCATGGGGAGACGTTCCAACCGAGTCACAACATCCAGCGTCATCCTTGCCAGTCTTTGAGAACTTCTTTTCTGGCACAAGATATCCCAGGTTCATCATGTACAGGAGCAGACAAAAGTAGGTTTACAGTTATACATATGAAAATACAATAAACAATACAAGAATAAACTGTTTTGTATACTCACTACTGTAAACCTACGTTTGCCTACCATTTTATGTTCTTTGCCCCAACCCTGGAATTGGCCATTTCACCAAGGAACCCGGGTTCCTTATGGGACAGAATGTTTGTGTTCCCCCTAAAAATTCATATGTGATTGTATCTGGATGTGGGATCTTTGGGGAGACAATCAGGGTTTGATGAGGTCATGAGGATGAGGCCTTCATGACGGTAGATTAGTGCCCTCATCATAGACACCACAGAACTTGCTGCCTCTCTGCCACATGAGGACACAGCAAGAAGGTGGCTATTTGCAAGCCAATGAGAGCTCTCACCAGAAACCAAATAGGCCTTTATCTGGGATTTGCCACCATTCTGAACTGTGAAAATAAACTTCTGTTATTTAAGCCACCCACTCTGTGATACTTAGCCCAAGTAGACTAAGATTTTGATAACAAGAAATGAGGTGCTGCTCTAAAAAAAACATGTAAAAATGTGGCAGCTTTAGCAGAATAAGACAGTGAAGAATTTTGAAGGCAAGCCATGAGAACTCAATGAAGAGAATTAGAGAATATACGTATGTGAGCATATATGTACATTCTCATGTATCTACATTTATCTACTTTTGTCTTCAATCATGAATTCATACTCTTTTAAAAAAATATATTTTTATTGATTTCAGAGAGGAAGGTAGAGGGCAAGAGATAGAAACATCATTTGATGAGAGAGAATCATGGCCTCCTGCATGCCCCCTAGTGGGGATCGAACCTGTGACCCAGGCATGTGCCCTTGACCAGAATCGAACCTGGGACCCTTCAGTCCACAGGCCAAAGCTCTATCCACTGAGCCAAACTGGCCAGGGCATGAATTCATACTCTTAAATCCAATTTCAACCGAACCCCACAGGTTTCATTCTAGGTTTTGCCCTTTTTGAATTCATAAGTAATAACTTTCTCTGACAGTAAGAAAAATCAAGCTCACTGTACAGCCTGGAAGCTGTGAAAGATTGATTTTAAACTTTGTTACAATGAGTTTCTTTCCATTTTGCCCGTAAAGTACAGTGCTTAGTTCTGGGTTGTTGTCCTTCCTCCCTTTGGTTTCAATGGGTATCCCAAAGTATACACTCCTTTTAGTGGAATTTTAATTTCAAACTGTATTACCCTAGCAGTTGCTACCTCTACTCAGTTCCTTAAATTCAACTATTGCTTTCTGCTGGGTTCCTCTGAATATTACATTGCACAAGTGATACCCAGAATGGCAAGCTGGACTCCAGGTTCTTGTCCTATGAAGTGTGAAGAATAAACAATCTCGGACTAAAAGATTTTTAGCAAAAGCATGGAAATTTATTGCAGGCATATAAAATCTCCCCCTGCGGAGGGGTCCCTAAAATGGGAAAAAGACCCAGTGAGACTCTTTATCTAAGGGTTTATAAATGCTGGCAGCTTCTTTGTACATGCTTTCTAACTGGACCCTTCCTCATTTTATGACACCTCGTGTTTTCCCCTAATTGGCCAATTTCCCTCTTTCCCTGCCTAGTACCAATTTCAAAGTTTCCAAGCTCACTAGGTTCTCACCCTTCCTTTTGTAAGATAAACACTGTAGTGTTATTGGAGCTGGCTCCATCCTCCTTCACGTATGCATTCCTTTCCCATGGACCCTTCCCTAACTGCCTCTCCTATCTCCAAATCCTTTCACAAGTATAATTTGAAAGGAATCTGTAGACAGATTTTGGGGCTTATACGTTTGAAGCTCTCTCCTTTTCAAGATTTCCTTCCTAATTTCCAGCTGTTCTAGAAGACCCTAACAATCCCTCAGCTGAGCAAGACTGTCACATTCTATTTCCAAGCACACTGCACAAACTGGAAATTTCCCTCTGGGTAAAAGCTAGTATATTAGTTTGTGCAGTTGATGCCTGTTTGCTCTCTAGTCTTTTATATTTTATTCAAAGTTTAAAATTGTTGGCAAGAGAGTTAACCCAATACAAGCTACTCTATTACTAGACTGCAACCTCTGAAATCTAAAAGTTTCAAATAAAAAAATTAAAGGCAAAATAAAGTTTGTAATTTATTTCAAGTCCATTAGGATAAACACCACTTTATGCAACCAAACCTTTTAATGTATTTCTTGTGAAGAAAAGTACAAAATACCAGATTAAAATAGAAACCAGCATTTAAAGGAAAATCCTTTGACTTATAGTCCAAAACCAAACTGTAATTCATTCTACCAAAAGAACTAGTTTTTTGTTTTTTGTACAAAATATAAAGAACTTTACACTATAAACAAAGACTACTATATATTTACTGAAATTAGAATTCTAGCATCTGCTTTTCCTCTAATTATTTCCAAGCACAAAGCATACTGCAGGTCAGAGATCTGATAACCTCATTGGGCAAATTCTTAGAATAAGCTTTTACACTTAAGATATCTTGAAAGATAGTATTCTTTCCCTTGGCTTAGAGACCAGTACATCAATAGGTCCTTTTTTTTAAAATGATCTATTTCTTTTTAAAAAAATGTTTTTATTGATTTCAGAGAGAGGAAGGGAGAGGGAGAGAGAAATAGAAACATCAATGGTGAGAAAGAATCATCAATTGGCACCTCCTGCATGACTCCCCCAATGGGGATGGAGCCCACAACCCGGGTGTGTGACCTCCTGGTTCATGGGTCTACATTCAATCACTGAGTCACACTGGCCAGGCATCAGTAAGTTTTAATTTAGCTTACAAAACTATGCCTTATTAACATGAAGAGCACAATATAATTTAATGTTTAAGCATTACCTTTTAGGAAGTGACACAGAGTTCAATGCAAAATCTAAAAGGTTACAATCTAAGTCTAATATTAATTTTAAAAATCTCAGCAACTTCTATATTGAAAAAGACCGAACCAACCCCTTACACCTTCTACTATTATCATTATTCTATTTTCACGGTCCTTCTATGAAAGAAACACAGCTTAAAATAAAACTTGGTCAAATTTTACCAAGAGTAAGAGTAAAACTAAGAAGAATGTTAAAAAAAAAAAAAAAAAGAATGTGTATCTTCATTATAAAATTCTTATCTAGCAGGGGCAAGGTTTTAATTTGTTCTCTCAAAACCAAAGATATTTTTCCCAAATGAAAAAAAATCTTTGTTCCTACTATAAAACTATTCTTTCCACCCACGGCATTTTACACAAAAGCACCAAAGAAAATTTCTGTAAACAAACTTTTAACCAGTAAACTAAGGGCAAATATCAATTTGCCTTTATTACAATATTTAAAAGGTCATAACGAATTTCTACTTCCTACAATGACATTTTTATAATAAAAATTCAGGCATACTTATACAAATAAGAAATGGAATTACTGTACATTTTGGGGGAACAAAAGGCAGATTAACAGACTACAAGTTGTTTGTTAACAAAGTGAGCACAAGAAACCTACAAAATGTATGCAATTTATAAAAATTCAGTAACTTTTAAAGTTTCATTGAAGGGATTAATGATTATAAAGAATAAAAGATGGTAGATCCACTGGCTTATCATTATCCTGTAAACAGTAAGAAAGTAGTAATCATGAATTAGAAATGTCTTAGCTCCCAGTACTTCCCTTCTCTCACACAGGAACCACTTTTACAGCTGTTAAAATTGGTTTTCTTAAGTATTAGGATAATTCTAGCAGGAAATAAATTCCATTAGGAATAAGTTAACAGTCTCAATAGATTTCTGGCAAATATATTTTAAAAAAAAGTACTGTGGTCACACAAGGATTGATCATGTTGTATGACAGAGTGACTCAAAACTTGCAAATTTCTCCTCTTTTATTAGACTTATTTTGTTGCTCTCATATTACTTTATAAATTGTTTGGTAGAAAGGAACTAGAAAAATAAAAAAGTGAAAAGAACACAATTGTTTAATGTCTGTAGTTTTATGGAGAAAAAGCCTTCAAAATCCTTTTTCCTATTTCTGTTACACAGAAAAAAGTTTCATTTGGCACACAATTTGTAAAAAGAAAAGGGAAAAAAAAGAAAATGTTTGGCATTCCAATCACCCATAGTACAGACAACAGTAGGAGAGGAAAATGGGAAAAATTACTATTTTAAAAAAAGACATCAGAAGACAACCAATGGCTGTTGTGTCTTTCACCCTTTACTGTCTCTGAATACTTTCATCTGTAACACATATATAAATTATTATTTACATTCTGATTAAATTGGTAAAGAAGACAAGAACCAGTGTTTATTGTGCTCCAACTTACCCTGCCCATCGGGATAGCGATTACTATCAAGGCAAGAAGGCCTTAAACAAAATATTCCATTTGCATTGTATATTTTATTTAAATTTGTTTTATGGTTTATCTTCTGGGATGCATAAATAATTATAAGACTCTAAAAAGTCCTGTAAACTTAGGCTGAGTTTCTGTAGCTGATAACTATTCACTGAAGATGGTGTGTTTCTCCCTTGATAAGAAAATGTTCTGCAGGCTTACAAAGGTATTTTCTTAAACAGTGGTATCTCCAAAGTCCTTGTTCCAACGTATGTATGCTTCTAAGGTTTGAGGGCCCACGCTGCGTTTTATCTTTTTCAAGGATTCAGTGAAGTCAGATAATCGAATATTTCTCATCTAGATTTTTAAAAAGCACATGAAAATACAAATGATGAACACATACAGTAGTTAACCCCAAAATGGATCAAATGTTACTATTTATTAATGTTAGAAACATATGTAGATGAATTTTTAAAATATATATGTATTTATTGATTTCAGAAAGGAAGGGAGCGGAAAGATAGTTAGAAACATCAATGATGAGAGAGAATCCATGATTGGCTGCCTCCTGCATGCCCCCTACTGGGGATCGAGCCAGCAACCCGGGCATGTGCCCTTGTCTGGAATTGCACCTGGGACCTTTCAGTCCGCAGGCCGATGCTCTATCCACTGAGCCAAACCAGCTAGGGCAGTAGATGAATTCTTTAAAATCATGCCAATCATCTTACTTTACATATAGGTTGGGCAAAAGTAGGCTTATAGTTGTAAGTATGGGACACATAGAGTTTATTCTTATATTATTAACTAGAGGCCCGATGCACAAAATTCGTGCAAGGGGCTCAGCCCTCACAGCTGTGGTGGCCTGCCTTGCAGCCCTGGCCTCATCCGGAAGGTTGTCCAGAAGGACATCCGGAAGCTTGTTCAGCTGTCTGGTCTAATTAGCGTATTATACTTTTATTATTATAGATCGGCGGTTCTCAACCTGTGGGTTGCGACCCCTTTGGGGGTTGAACGACCTTTTCACAGGGGTCGCCTAAGACCATCGGAAAACACATATATAATTACATGTTGTTTTTGTGATTAATCACTATGCTTTAATTATGTTCAATTTATAACTGAAAATACATCCTGCATATCAGATATTTACATTACGATTCATAATGGTAGCAAAATTACAGTTATGAAGTAGCAACGAAAATAATTTTATGGTTGGGGGTCACCACAACATGAGGAACTGTATTAAAGGGTCGCGGCATTAGGAAGGTTGAGAACCACTGTTATAGATGGTTGTGTTATTTCCAATAAGAACAATGGTAAACTTACTTTTGCCCCATCTTGTATATTAGATAAGATTGCTATATAGGAAATCTTATAAAAATGCTATACTAATATATTTTTATTACATATATTTAGTTTCCTATGTATTAACATTTTAAATCATATTTTCCCATTATCAAAACAAGACTCACTCATTAGAGATAATTTGGCAAAATACAGACAAGCAGAAAAAGAACCACTCACTCATAGTTCCACCATTAGATAGACAACCACTCCTTATCTCCTTCCAATTTTTTCTGTTTATAGGTTCATAGAATTTACATTCTCAAGTCTCACTCACTATATACTCTAGCTAACATTCATGCTAGGTTTACTAGAAAGAAAAGGGAGGTTTATAAGAAGCATGTAGGACTTTTAACCAAATGTTTTTTGTTTTGTTTTTAAAATATATTTTTATTTATTTCAGAGAGAAAGGGAGAGGGAAAGAGAGATAGAAACATCGATGAGAGAGAATCATTGATTGGCTGCCTCCTGAACGCCCCCCACTTTGTATTGAGCCAGCAACCCAGGAATAGGCCCTGAACTGGAATAGAACCCGGATCCTTCAGTCCACAGTCCGACGCTCTATCCACTGAGCCAAACCAGCTAGGGCTAAGCAAATGTTGTTTTTAACTACAACATGTATGATGCTTGTATCTGAAATATTCTAACATTAATACTGCTTATGATGCATTTTTAAAAAATATATTTTTATTGATTTCAGAGAGGAAGGGAGAGAGACAGAAACATTGGTGATGATAATCATTGATTGGCCACCTCCTGCACGCCCCCTACTGGGGATTGAGCCCGCAACCTTGGGCATGTGCCCTTGACTGGAATAGAATCCGGGACCTTTTAGTCCGCAGGCTGACACTCTATCCACGGAGCCAAACCAGCGAGGCTGTAATACATTTTTATATTAATGTGGTCTTATTTCTGACACTATAATTGGCTTTAAGAATGTAGAATAAAATAATGCTGAGTTCATTACCTAAGGATTTTCAAAAGGCGAAATGGAATTTGGCACAAAATGACTAGTATTAAAAACTGTCAGTAGCCCTGGCTGGGGAGTGCAGTTGTACACTAATAAGTGGGGGGTTTGAGTCCTAGTCGGCAACCAATCCAAGTTTCTCTTTCTCTCTCCTTTCCTCTCTAAAAATCAATTAAAAAAACACAACAACAACAGAAAAATCCTCAGGTGCCGATTAAAAAATAGTTACTTGTAGCCCTGACCGGTTTGGCTCAGTGGATAGAGTGTCGGCTTGTGGACTGAGGGGTCCCGGGTTCGATTCTGGTCAGGGGCATGTACCTTGGTTGTGGGCATATCCCCAGTAGGGGGTGTGCAGGAGGCAGCTGATCGATGTTTCTAACTCTCTATCCCTCTCCCTTCCTCTCTGTAAAAAATCAGTAAGATATATTTTTTTAAAAATTAAGGTTTTAAAAGCTTTTGATGAAATTCTAATTTAAGTGTATAATATGGTGTATGTAAACATATATCTATGTATGGTAATTTAAAGTTAGTAAAGAGACTAATGTTTACAACAGGAAATAGCAACTTTGCTTGTTCAGCAAAGAGGGAAAATAAATAACAAAGATATTTTTTGTTTCTTTTCACTGATTCCAGAGAGGGACGGGGGTGAGGAGAGAGAAATATTGATGTGAGAGAGAAACATGGATCAGTTGCCTCCTACACATGCCCTGACCAGGGCCTGGGTAAATACTCACTTGAGAATATTTTTTTCCCATTGATTTTTAGAGTGGAAGGGATGGGGAGAGACAGAGAGAGAGAAACACTGAAGTGAGAGAGACACATCGACTGGTTGTTTCCTGCATGTGCCCACGGGAATGCAGCCTATAATGAGGTATGTGTCCTTGGCTGGAATTGAACCCTTGACCCTTAGGTGAGAGGGCTGACACTCTAACTACTGAAACACACTGGCCAGGACATGATACTTTAAAATATGTGTGTTGCCCTAACCGGCTTGGCTCAGTGGATGGAGCGTCAGCCTGCGGATTCAAGGGTCCCAGGTTTGATTCCAGTCAAGGGCATGTACCTTGATTGAGGGCACATCCCCAATAGGGAGTGTGCAGAAGGCAGCTGATCGATGTTTCTCTCTCATCAATGTTTCCAACTCTCTATCCCTCTCCCTTCCTCTCTGTAAAAAATCAATAAAATATATTAAAATATAAAAATATGTGTTTTCAGGCTCTTGTCATTGGAATGGGCTAAGTTAACATAGCATTAATAAAAACCAAGTTAGCATGTGTGTTTTGTTTTTTTAAAAACGGACATTTTGCCGAAACCGGTTTGGCTCGGTGGATAGAGCGTTGGCCTGCGGACTGAAAGGTCCCAGGTTCGATTCCGGTCAAGGGCATGTACCTGGGTTGTGGGCACATCCCCAGGAGGAGATGTGCAGGAGGCAGCTGATCGATGTTTCTCTCTCATCGATGTTTCTAACTCTCTATCTCTCTCCCTTCCTCTCTGTAAAAAATCAATAAAATATATTTAAAAAAAAAAAAAAAACGGACATTTTTATTATATTGAGTCTTCAAATACAAAGATGTGGTATATCATTCCATTTATTTATTAAAATCTTTAAAAATGTTTTTCGATATATTTTTTTTCAGGAAAAGACTTGTAAATCTTTTTAAAATATATATATTTTTATTAATTTTACAGAGAAAAGAAGGGAGAGTGAGGGAGAGAGAAACATGGATGTGAGAGAGAAACATCAATTAGTTTCCTCCCTCACGTGCCCTGACCCGGGGATCAAACTGGCAATGGGATGATGCTCAACCAATTGAGCCACACCAGCCAAGCAAGGTATCTTTTAAAATATTCATCATTGGTACTTTACATTTTTGCTCCTGATAAAATAAATGGTATCTTTTCTTTAAAAAAAAAGTCCTACTTTCTGTTTCCTCCTGGTATAGTCATGCCTTTCAGAGAGTTGTCCTACTTTGAGGCAAAGGGGCCTGGCCTTTATACCCCACATCAACCAGGCATTGGGTAAAGGCTGCCCTCAGGTACTGAGTATGACCCTGAGTGAAGAGTCTTTTGGCCTGAGGGCAATGCCTGGAGAGTGATTCAATTGAGAGCTGTCAGCTGCCAACCTTCCCACCAGCTAAGACTCTGCAGTCCTGAAGGGAAATCTTGGCAGAGTATCACAGCAACCACTAAATGCCCTTGAAGGGGTTAAAGAAGTTCTTTTTTATTCTTAGTTTTCTTAAAAGGTCCTGTTTTGGTAAAAGGAGAGTTGCCCAGCTTGTATTACGTGGGGAATTGGATCTGGTGTCTAATTGCTTCTTAAATAGACTTTCAACTAATCCTATTTCACTCTCAACTTTACCCCAGTTTCAGAACTGTTTGTTGTCCTCAAACCTGAACTTTTTGGTGGCTCTGCAGAACAGACTGGCTTGTTTTTAGGTTTTGCTTACTGCCAGCAAAGAAGATGCATTTCTATACACAGAGTCTTAATATTCTTCTTCATGAAAATGAACCAGGGCTCGCCCTGGCAGTTTGGCTCACTTGGCTGAAGCATTGTTCCATACATCAAAAGGTTCCAGGATCGATCCCTAGTTGGGATACATGCGGGAAGGCAGCCGAATGATGTTGCTCTCTCACATCAATGTTTTTCTATCTCTTCCTTCCTCTCTCTCTCTAAAATCAATAAGCATGTCCTCGGGTGAGGATTAAAAAAATAAAAAGAACCAGGGTTTCTACAGAGTTGCTGATTCCATGTCTTGGGAGAGGCAAATTTAAGATATGCCTTGCCCACAGAAAGCAAAAGTGCTTTTCAACGTTCTCAAGTAGTGTTGAGTGGGTTCATCTTCATATAAAAACAGATTTCACTGGCCAACTGTGACACTTTAACCATAAAAAAAATTGTAATAATTATAATTGATTTACACATGTGGTGGGCATCTTCTGATGACTTCCACCTCTTATTATATGCCTTTGTGAAATCCCTTCCCTGAATGTAAACTGGACCTCATAATAGAAGACTACAGCCCTAGCTGGTTTGGCTCAGTGGATAGAGTGTTGGCCTGTGGACTGAAGGATCCTGAGTTTGGTTCTGGTCAAGGGTCCATGCCCGGATTGCAGGCTCGATCCCCAGTAGGGGGCGTACAGGAGGCAGCCGATCAATGATTCTCATCATTGATGTTTCTTCCTTCCTCTCTGAAATCAGTAAAAATATATTAAAAAAAAAAAAAAAAAGAATAGAAGACTACAGCAAAACTGATGGAATGTCACCTTGAGGATTAAGTATAAAGACTATGACTACCATCTTTCTGGCACTCTTGTCTTCCTGGCTTGCTTGCTTTGATGAAGCAAACTACTATGCTTGAGAGGTGTATGTAGCAAGGAAGTGAAGACAGCCTTCAGCCAATAGCCAGAGAAAACCGAGGCTGTCAGCCCAACAATGCATGATTGGAAATGAATCTGGCAAAGAAGTACAAGTGAGCTTTGAAGCAGATCTTTCCCCAGTTGAGCCTTGCAATGACTATACTGCCAGCCAACATCTTGCTTCCAGCTTTATAAGAGACTATGGGCCAAAACTTTGCACCCTGCTGAGAGAGATTGAATCAGAGGACTCAGCTAAGCTGCACCCATATTCCTGACTCTGTGAAAATGTGAGATAATAAATGTTTTAAGCTGCTAAGTTTTGGGATAAATTTTTATCCTATCCTATATAATAAAAGCCTAATATGCAAATTGTCCCCTCAACTGGAAGTTTGACCTGGGGGTGGGGCTAGCCAGCCAACCACCCACGACCTCCCCTTCCCCCCTTCTGATCCCACCCTGGCTGGCAGCGGCAGGAAGCTGGGGGAAGGGAAGCCCTGGCTGGCAGCCAGCAGCTGCTAGGAACCCTATCCATCCATGAATTTCGTGCACTGGGCCTCTAGTATAGCTATAAATACCTACAGCAACAGAATGACTACCTTGTTTTATAATCATAAGAACATAAAAGTTTTTTTTTTAAAAAAGAATATAGACTCAAAATTTCTTTACTCTTCAAATAAACAGGAATCATATTTGGGTTGACTTTGTTCAGTGAAGAAGAAAGTTTGGTTTTATGTATATTCTCAGGATGGGTAAAACATATACAACGGTTAACAGAGCCACTATCAATGGTAAACAGATCTCTTTTCTCATGAAATAATGGAAAGATTCCTAAGAATTTCTACTATTTTCTAAGCAGCCACCTACTTGCTTTCATAAAATTATTGTAAGATATTAGTGCAAGTTTATTAAAGCATTCCATTTTATGTACAAGTGGCCTTCCTCGGGGATCTGCATAGAAAGTGCCACAGCCTAGGAGCCTGAGACCGAGTGAAGAACACTTGCAAAAGTGGGGCTGAGGGATGTTGCCTGTGAAGTCAACTGAGAACTTGCATACCACTTCTTACTAAAATTTGCCAGCTTGTGGTTTTACCTCATTATTGCCTTGTTTGTTTCCTTTACTTGTATGGTCTTTCTTTCTTTTAAAAAAAAATATTTTTCTTAATTTCAGAGAGGAAAGGAGAGGGAGAGAGAGATAGAAACACCAATGATGAGAGAGAATCATTGATCGGCTGCCTCCTGCATACCTCACACTGGGGACCGAGCCTGCAACCCAGGCATGTGCCCTGACCAGGAATCGAACTGTGACCTCCTGGTTCATAGGTCAACACTCAACCACTGAGACATGCTGGCCGGGCTATATGGTCTTTTCAAGGGACAAACACAGAGGTCTAAAATGTCAGACATAAGGCCTTTCCTCAGCTTTAACCTACGAGGCCAGATTATGAGATATCAAGTTTACCTATCCTTGATCCAAGTCAGAGAGTAGTGTGTGAAGAAATAATTCATGCCTGATGCTTACTTTTTGTAGAAAAGTACTATTAGGTTTAAGCTATGAGTATAAGAACATTTAAAACACAATATGTTTATAGGATATTGTTAATACATTATATTTAAACTATTAAAAATCCATAAGACGCCCTAACTGGTTTTGCTCAGTGGATAGAGCATTGGCCTGTGGACTGAAGGGTCCCAGGTTCGATTCTGGTCAAGGGCATGTACCTTGGTTGCGGGCACATCCCTAGTAGGAGGTGTGCAGGAGGCAGCTGATCGATGTTTCTCTCTCATCGATGTTTCTAACTCTCTATCCCTTTCCCTTCCTCTCTGTAAAAAATCAATAAAATATATATATTTTTAAAAAATCCTTAAGACACTTTTGAAACACAAATTGTATAGTATTGATATATTAAAAATTTTTTTAAATGTGGAATTAAAATTATACATCAGATAAAATGAATTGGAATTTATACTTGAAATGTGAATTTTAAAAAATTTTTAATCTTCACCTGAGGATATGTTTTTATTGATTTTTAGACAGAGGAAAGGAGAGAGAGAAAGAGTGATGTGAGAGAGAAACATAGATTGGTTGCATCCTGCACGCACCTGGACTGGGGATCGAACCTGCAACCTTTTGGTGTATGGGAGGACACACAAACCAACTGAACCACTCAGCCAAAGGCCTAAATGTGATTTTTAAGGTATAGTAGTTAAACACCAGAGTGGGTAAGTGGAATTCTCTATTCCTAAGTTTCATTCATGCCAAATACACTTTAGGCAAACTAGACTGCTAAAATGAAAGGGTGGCTGCAAGAAGTGTGAGGACTTTCTTAGTAATGTAGGTGATGAACCACCATGCACAAATGCCTGAAGACAACATAAATTTAGTTAAAAGTTTGAAGAAAGAGGACTGTCAAAATGTACTCATTTTCTATGTTAAGAGTTCAATGTCTCCTCAATAGCTGTTGAAACTTGGGCAGCAAAAAAATATCTCTGACAGGTAAGTTACAAATATAATGCAAGTTGATTTTAAAAGTTTGTTCACACAGTTATGATCATTCTGCATTTCCAATTTATATTTTATAGGCAGGCAGTATTTTTCAAAATAAATTATTTAGCATTTCATAAGAGGGTCTACCATATTAAGAAAATATAGTAAATTGCATTACAATGTTAATTGCATTGCTTTTATAAGGAGGAAAACATTAAAAAACAAAATAGAACATCAAAGACTTAATCTGTTTCAAGTTATTTTCATAATGTATAAAATCTTCGTCTCCTATACTTTTCTTGTTTAGTTTTTATGTAATATAAATGGTTAGAAAATGACTTAATGTGTACAATATTTTTGTCCATTATCAATGAACAACATATACTGTAATTGGATAGGCCTCTCTCTCTATATATATATTGAATATGTTCTCATTGATTTCAAAGAGAGGAAGGGAGAGGGACAGAGGAATAGGAACATCAATGATGACAGAGAATCATTGATCAGCTGCCGCCTGCATGACCCCTACTGGGGATTGAGCCTGCAACCCGGGCATGTGTCCTAACTGGGAATTGAACTGTGATCACCTGGTTCATGGGTCGACAATCACTGAGCCACTCCAGCTATGAAGGCCTCCATTTTTTTAAATGAGGCAAAGTTAATTTTTTCTAGTTTCTAATCAAATAAACTATAAAATCCAGACAAAACATGTATCTAACAATATAGAGAACCAAAACCAAGAAAAGACAATTGTAATATAGTATATACCTCATTGGCAGACATATTCTTCACTTGTTCTGGTTTCAGTTCTGCAAAATATAAAAGGTAGCCACTTAAAATTTTTTGAAGTTTAAAGTGCTGAAAAGCAAAACCAAGTACAATGACCTAAAAGTATGTGTTCAATATAAATCATTATATTAAAAAAGACATATAATAGAGGACATACAATGTATAAATGCTTAGAATAATATTCTTTCTTAGGAATAACTATAAGACATTCAATTTCTTTGGATATTGTCAAGAAACAACAGGTTTTACAAATTTGAGAGTAAACTTAAAAGAATTCAATTTGTTTTTTACAAAAGGCACTAGCTTTAAAAAAAAATCTAACAACTTTTGTCTGCTTCAGAAAATAGCTAAAATATTCTAAAACCACAAGTGATTTATACATTAGCTATTGTTTCTGAGTCCCTATCTGAACATGGTTTATAGCAAGAAAGTTTGGCTAAAATACTTTAGTGTCACAAAATATATTCTCAAAGTTACATTTATTATTCTCCAAAGCAGCATGTCCCATGATCTATTTTATCATCATAGCCAGTAAGTAATCTGGGTGTATACCTGCCTATGCTGGCCTTGGCAAAGTTGTTCAGAACATCTACTCTAAAGTGATACACCATAGCGAGTTTAATCGAACTAGCCTAGAAGTGATCAGTTGTGGTATTTCAGAACCAACAAATCATCCTGAATCAAAATATAGCAACACATGATATATTTTGCTGCAAGTCTTCAAAAGTTAACATGCAATGATAAAAGTATAAATAGTTACATGAGTTCCCTTAGACACATTAATTTCAATTGATATTAGAATACTGAAATGAAAAGCACACAAAAAAGTTAAGAACATTTTCCCTTTAGTATTCTTTTTTGCTTGCTTAAAAAGGTTTTCTTTTTGAATTTTCTGCTTCTTTGCTACTATCAACAAGTGAAACCTGTTGTCTAGAAGAGGGGTCATGGTTCACTAACCCATGGACTGTCTTTGGATGGTCTGTGAGCTAAAAATAGTTTCACATTTTTGGGGGTTTTTTTGTGTGTGTGATTGTTTGAAAAAAACAAGAATATGCAATATAGAGCATATATAGCCCACAAACTTAAAATATTTACCATCAGGCTCTTTACAGAAAAGTTTGCTAACCTTAAATCTAGAAAATACTTTATTTCAATGGACCTCAAGTTTTCCACTGATACAGCTTTACTGCTTTCCCACTAAGAGAGACTTATTAAACTTCTAAAATGGTCTTATGAAGAGGTATAAATGTTTCCAGCACTTGTATACCTACCTCGGATAGGACCCAGAGCTGCATCTTTTGCCAAAGCTGTTAGATCACTTCCTGAGTATCCATCAGTCATTCTGAGAATGAGTAGAAAGAGCAAATCACTTTCATCTTTGCAGATTCAAATTCTCCGGGTAAGAAGGTAAAACCTACTTTACCTTTGCCTTTAAGCAGACTGCTGTATGATTTAAGTGCACAGAAAGACCCACTTGCTAAAATCAAACAGAACAGTTTGCTGCTGGCTCCTTATTTATAATGCCTCAAATTTGCATCATTACAACCATTCCTTTAGATTGAGGCACACTGTACCTCCAGGAGTCTCCATTACATTGTAAACATGTCCCATGGAAAGTAACTAAGTCCTTGCTGGCCAACTGATACATAAGCAGTTACTTCTCTAAAAGTTAATGAGTCTTTGTCTTGACAAAGAGCACTGACTTAATGGAATGAGGGCCAAAGGAGATTATTTTATGTTGTTATTTTTAATATTTATTTATTTGTGATTAAAATTCATGAATGTATCTCCTATATTCAGTTTCTAATAAAGTGTACCACTTTTATTTGTTTATTTTTTCAGCTTTTTAATGGAATTTATTGGGGTGACACTGGTTAATAAAATTATATAGGTTTTGGTTGTATAATTCTGTAATACATCACAAAGTAGATTTTTTAAAATGTAAAACAGAGGAGAAACCAAGATGGCGGCATAGGTAAACACCGGAGTTTGCTGCCTCAAACAACCACTTCAAAAATACAACTAAAAGACGGAACGGACTGCCGAAACCGGTTTGGCTCAGTGGATAGAGCGTCGGCCTGCGGGCTGAAGGGTCCCAGGTTCGATTCCGGTCAAGGGCATGTACCTGGGTTGCGGGCACGTCCCCAGTGGGGGATGTGCAGGAGGCAGCTGATCGATGTTTCTCTCTCATCGATGTTTCTAACTTTCTACCTCTCTCCCTTCCTCTCTGTGAAAAATCAATAAAATATATTAAAAAAAAAAAAAAAAGACGGAATGGACATCATCCAGAACCACAGGAAGGCTGGCTGAGTGGAAGTTCTACAACTAGGAGGAAAGAGAAAAGCATACCGAGACTCAGAGGAGGCGCAGTGCTGAAGTAAAATACTAAGGTGCGGAGTGCATGCGGAGCGGGCTGGCGGCTGAGGGCGCGGTTGTCATTTTCAATCGGGAGGGAGTCTCAGGCTCTGAGCTCCAGTTCCAGGCAAGTCTCTAGGGACCCAGACTCATACGGGAGAAGCGGGACTGTCTGGCATCGCTCAGAACCCTAGGGCAGGTTTCTCTCCGTGGGGCTTGCAGCAATTACTGGGACACTGAGAAGCAGAGCCTCTGAGGGCAAGACTGAGAGCAGCCATAATTGCTAACCCCGCCCTGTTGATCCCCTGGGACCAGCCCCGCCCAAGCCCTGCAGGGAGACTTTTGCTGGATAGCCTCAGGCAAAGGCTAGATTAGCACTTCCCTAGAGATCCTGGAGCCAGGAAGCCCAGAGGTCAGAGTGGGACCATCCAGTTTGCAGCTCCGTGGAACCATAAAACACACACTCAGGGGGCAGACTCAGTGAGCACCAAAGCCCCATCGAAGCAAGTCTAGCCCCAGAGGGGTGTCTCCAGCACAGAAGCTCTCCCACTGCAGACACAGCTGATTCTCACAGCCAATTGGCCTGGAGGTCAATTCCTCACAGTGATAACTACAACAAGCAAGGCTTAACTACAACAAGACTGTGCACAAAGCCCACAAGGGGGTGCACCAAGAGTGTCTACCTCAGGTAATTGGGACACTTAGCACAGAAAGGCACTCTATCGACACAGCAAAGCATAAAAAATGCCGAGACAAAGAAACAGGACACAAACGACAGAATTGGAGGAAAGCAAACTGTTGGATATAGAATTCAAAACCACACTTTTAAGGTCTTTAAAGAACTGTCTAGAGGCCACTGATAAATTTAATAAGGCCCTCAAAAAGACTGGTGAGACCGCCGATAAATGTAGTGAGATCTTCAAGAAGACTGGTGAGACTGCCAATAAATGTAGTGAGATCCTCAAGAAATCTAATGAGACCCTCAATGTTGTGATAAAGAACCAACTAGAAATTAAGCATACACTGACTGAAATAAATATTATACAGACTCCCAACAGCAGACCAGAGGGTCCCAAGAATCAAGTCAAAGATTTGAAATACGAAGAAGCAAAAAACACCCAACCGGAAAAGCAAAATGAAAAAAGAATCCAAAAATACGAAGATAGTGTAAGGAGCCTCTAGGACAGCTTCAAGCGTACCAACATCCGAATTATAGGGGTGCCAGAAGATGAGAGAGAGCAAGATATTGAAAACCTATTTGAAGAAATAATGACAGAAAACTTCCCCTACCTGGTGAAAGAAATAGACTTCCAAGTCCAGGAAGCGCAGAGAACCCCAAACAAAAGGAATCCAAAGAGGACCACACCAAGACACATCATAATTAAAATGCCAAGAGCAAAAGACAAAGAGAGAATCCTAAAAGCAGCAAGAGAAAGAAAATCAGTTACCTACAAAGGAGTACCCATACGATTGTCAGCTGATTTCTCAACAGAAACTTTGCAGGCCAGAAGGGAGTGGCAAGAAATATTCAAAGTGATGAATACCAAGAACCTACAACCAAGATTACTTTATCCAGCAAAGCTATCATTCAGAAGTGAAGGCCAGATAAAGAGCTTCACAGATAAGAAAAAGCTAAAGGAGTTCATCACCACCAAACCAGTATTATATGAAATGCTGAAAGGCATCCTTTAAGAAGAGGAAGAAGAAGAAAAAGATACAAATTATGAACAACAAATACACATCTATCAATAAGTGAATCTAAAAATCAAGTGAATAAATAATCTGATGAACAGTATGAACTGGTGATTGTAATAGAATCAGGGACATAGAAAGGGAATGGACTGACTATTCTTGGGGGGGAAAAGGGGTGTGGGGGTGAGGGAAGAGACTGGACAATAATCGTGCACCTATGGATGAGGGCAGTGGGTGGGGAGTGAGGGCGGAGGGTGGGGTGGGAACTGGGTGGAGGGGAGTTATGGTGGGAAAAAAGAGTAACTAATGTAATCATCTGAATAATAAAGATTTAATTTAAAAAAAAATGTAAAACAAACAGGTTGAAGGGAGAGTCTTCGATAGAAGTCATTGGCAAAAATAGGCACACCTGAATGAGATGCCATAGTGGAGAATCCTGAGTAGCCAAGAGATTATCAAAGGGATCTAAGGACTAGGTAGGCAAAGGGAAAGAGGAAAATAAACCAGGGAAAGAAAGCATTTAGTTATTGTGTACTATGTTAAATAAGAACACAGATCAAACATTATTAGCAGAATTCTTTATTGGAATGACAAAGAAGGATCTCAACTATTTCAAAGTAATGCATTTGTTCTTTTTTCATTCTTATCTAGGAACTCAATGTTTATTAAAATTACTAGCTATTCACATACTTACTGAATATTACTTCATGATGTTTTTTCCAGTGATTAAAATTCACAAATGCATCTCCTATATTAGTTTCTACTAGTGTACCACTCAAAAAAAAAGTTAAAAATGTAAAAGTTAAAGAAAATTATGTGTAATGCAAAAGAAGTTTATAAGAAAATGTATGTTGGTGTGGGCAGATATGAGATATTTTACATTTAAAAAATTACTTTAATAACACTATAAGTTTTAGTAAGTTTATAAAAGGAATACAGTACCATCATATTTAGGTCATGTCTTGTATAGGATCTAGAAATTGAAATTTAGGTACTATACGTATAAGAATAAGAGATAAGAAAGAAGGTAAATGAAGCAGAGGGTGAGACACTACTCATTTTATACTTGAGCTTACTTTAAACAAAACAGAAAAAGATTCCTTAAAAAAAAAAAAAAAAAGAAAGCGGTAAAACAGACCAAATCAAATTACTCACCTAGCAAGTTGTGCTAGTTCTTTTTGGGTCAATGGGCTTCCCTGTTTACATAATAGATTTTTTAGTAAAAGTCGTCGTGTCTGAAAAGAAATGTTAAAAAATTATCAGTCCTAAGAATTAGCTTAATAAAATACTAGGAATCAGGTTCAAACCCTAATTCTCATTTAGGAACTGAATGATCTTACACAAATCACTCTACATTTTAGAGTCTCGCTCATGTCCTTTAAAACTACCTTTTTCTTGACAGTTCCTGAGAGAGGTAAAGATAATTGAAATAAAGTGTTAAGGACATAGCTATTGTTACTAACAAGGATATTAAAGGTCTGAGCTAGACAATACAATTTACAAACAAAAACAAGACAGTTTTATAAAAGTATGAATCCATGAATCTCACGCATTGTAATTCAATGACTTAATAAACCTAAGAGTTTTGCAACCATCACCATAATCCAGTTTAGAACATTTCTATCACCCAGAAAATTTACTCATGCCTGTTTGCTGTTAATCCTCACTCTGACCCTTAGCCTTAGCAAATCATGGATCTGCTTTATGTTTCTAGAATTTGCCTTTTCTGAACATCCTATATAATAAAAGGCTAATATGCAAATTGACTGAACGGCAGAATGACCGGTCACTATGACATGCACTGACCATCTGGGGCCAGACACTCAATGCAGGAGCTGCCCCTGGTGGTCAGTGAGCTCCCACAGGGGGAGCAACACTCAGCCAGAAGCCAGTCACATGGCTAGCGAGCGCAGCGGGGGTGGCAGGAGCCTCTCTCGCCTCTGTGGCAATGCTAAGGGCCCTTTGGAAGATGTCTGACTGTTGGGCCTAAGCCAGCAGTTAGACATCTCCTGAGGGGTCCTGGACTCTGAGAGGGCGCAGGCCGGGCTGAGGGGACCCCCCCACCCCCCGCCCCACAGTGCACAAATGTCATGCACTGGGCCTCTAGTTTCATATAAATGGAATTATGTGTAATATTTTACATCTGGTGTCTTTCACTAGTGTAATGTGTTTGAGGTTCATCCACATTATCCTATATAATAAAAGCCTAATATGCAAATCAACCTAATGGCGGAACTATGGGCAGAACGACTGGTTGCTATGACATGCACTGACCACCAGGTTCAGACACTCGATGCAGGAGCTACCGTGGAGGTCAGTGTGCTCAGCCAGAAGCAGGGCTCACGGCTGGTGAGTGCAGCTGCTGTGGAGGGAGCTTCTCCCGCTTCCACGGCAGTGCTAAGGAGCAACGAGCCAAGTGGTAAGGAGCGAGGGGTCCCGGACTGTGAGAGGGCGCAGGCCAGGCTGAGGGACCCTTCTCCACCCCCCCGCCCCAGTGCACAAATATTGTGCACCGGGCCTCTAGTAGCACATAAAAGTAGCTCATTCCTTTTGTTGCTAAATATTATTCCATTAAGTAGATATACCTCATTTATCTACCTATTCACCAATTGATAAATATTTTAGATTCTTTGCAGTTCCTGGCTATTATTTATAATGCTGCCATAAAAATTCTTGCACATGTCTTTTTATAGATATATGTTTTAATTTTTCTTGGGTAGATTGGTGGATCTTATGATAAGTTTATGTTTATTTTTTTAAGAAACTGCCAAACTGTTTCCCAAGTGGTTGTACCATGGGTTGGAAGACTCAATATTGTCAAGGTGGTAGTTCTTGCTTCTGCTTAAAAAAAAAAAAATCACAGATACATACCTCCTCATTTGGCAAAGACACATATACCCGTTTGGTGAAACGCCTAAAAGAAGGATTCAGAAATAGAATTTTGAATTTAAAGGTACCTCAGTTTAAGTAGTCAATGACAAGAAAAAAGCTTTAAGTATAATGCTCAAAGCATGTGAATGCATTTTAGTCATCAATGTAAAAAATTATTTTTAGAGTTACTCTTTTAAAACTCTCCAGTTAATATTTTAAATATATATTTTTATTGATTTCTGAGAGGGAGGGAGAGGAAGAGAGAAACATCAATGGTGAGAGAGAATCATTGATTGGCTGCCTCCTGCACGCCTCACACTAGGGATTGAGCCCACAACCAGGGCATGTGCCCTTGACCGGAATTGAACCCAGGACCCTTCAGTCCATAGGCCGACTCGCTATCCACTGAACTAAACTGGCTAGTGGTCTAGTTAATATTTTAAAGTCCTTAATTCAATACTGTCAGAATCAAGTTAACCATCTAGGTATGTGAATGTTTTGTTTGTTTTTCTAATTTATTTTTTTATTGATTTCAAAGAGGAAGGGGGTGAGAGAAAGAGAGAGACAGAAGCATCAATGATGAGAGAGAATCACTGATCAGCTGCCTCCTGCATGCCCCCTACTGGGGATCAAGCCCACAACCGGGGCATGTGCCCTTGACCGGAATCGAACCCAGGACCCTTCAGTCCACAGGCAGATGCTTTATCCACTAAGCCAAACCAACTAGGGCGGTATGTGCATGTTTTTAACATGCAATAACACTTTAGAAGAAAGTATCTGATATAAGATTTTAATAAAAACATCTTTGCTGTCTTTATGAAAATAAAAACAACTAAAACCAAGGACAACAAAAACAGAAAAGTAAATTTCATCATAAAGAAACTAGGTAACAGGCTGGCTGGTGTGGCTCAATTGGTTGAGCACTGTCCCATGCACCAGGAGGGCACAGGTTCAATTCCCAGTCAGGGCACATGCCCGGATTGCAGGCTCCATCTCCAGAGGGTGGGTGTGCAGGAGGCAGCCGATCAATGTTTCTCTCTCATCATGTTACTATTTGTCTCTTTTCCTCTCCCTTCCTCTCTCTGAAATAAAAATACATATTCATATATTTTTAAATAGGTAATATTTACATAACTTAAATGTATGAAAAAGGGCTACATAGGGCAGTGAAAATTACAGTGAGAAAGGAGGATACACACTGCAGATTACAGACAGATGTCAGAGAATAGAGTTTTCCAAAGGAAAGAGACAGAGCATATTCTGAGGGGTAATAAAACCAAACTCCCCACATTTAAACAAGCATATGAAGACTGGCTCCGTAGATCTTGTGAAACTTGGCCAATAACAGGGCAATGGCAAGGAAGGCGAGGTTGAACAAAGAGACTCAAAGACATATCATCTTTGTAAGACATCAGTCTGTCTGGCAAGATGACAAATTGCCTTTATTAGTTGAAGAAGACTAAATCAACCCAGTGTCTTATTTACACACAAACACTTGTATATCAGATATGGCTTTACTACTGAATTAGTGAGACTGCCTGCCAGTCCAGGCTATTCATGGGACAACTCAAAATACTTGTTCGGTATCTTAATTTTCTAGCTCTCCTCCTATAATATCCTTCCAAAATTAGGTTTTTTAAAAAAAACTCCCTTTATTCAAATAAAAATAAAGCAAAACAGGCAAAAGACAATCAATTTTTTGTTTTTTTGGTTTTTTTTAAAATATATTTTATTGATTTTTTACAGAGAGGAAGGGAGAGAGATAGAGAGTTAGAAACATCGATGAGAGAGAATCATCGATCAGCTGCCTCCTGCACATCTCCCACTGGGGATATGCCCGAAACCCAGGTACATGCCCCTGACCGGAATCGAACCTGGGACCTCTCAGTCCGCAGGCCGACGCTCTATCCACTGAGCCAAACCGGTTTCAGCAAGACAATCAATTTTTTAAAAAATAGTGTCAAAATAGGGGTAAAGAATACAATAAATAAAACATAAATAAAATGGAGAACATGTACAACAGGATTCTGCCATAGAGTGAATTAAAATTGTAACCAAATAGCTTTCCATGAAATATAATAATTTAATGGGAAAAAATCTATGAAACGAGTTCACAGAGATACAAGGGCTCATGAAAATGAATATACAAAGGCTCAAGAAAATGAGACAATGGGAGATGAAAAAATGGACCACAGAGATAAGGAAAGCAATAAAAAAGAAAACAAAAACCACCAGAGAAACAAAGATTGCCAAAGTAGTAGCAGAAAGGAGATAAGAAATAAGGACAACAAACTGGAAAACAGACAAATCAAAACAAAAAGACCTAAAAGTTTAAAATGATTATGGAAATTACAGAGATGAAAGAAAAAAAGATGCAACATAATGCATACGTTGTGTGTAGAAAAAAAAAATTAGTAGAAAAATGAATTAGGAAAAAAAAATCAAAGATAGTACTCAAAATAACTTTCCCAAAACAAAGGAGGTTCCAAACTATCAATTTAAACGAACATCAAATCCCAGGAAAAATAAACACAGATCAATCAACATATTTTTCAAATAACTAGATTTCAATAGTTGGAAACTGTATCCAGTATGAACAAAAAAATTAAATTAATCATAAATATTAATAAAAGTAGGCTGGCTTCAGATTTTTATACTGCAACATCCAACCCTAGAAACAATGGGACAATGTTATAGATTCCTCAGGAAAAGAAAGGAAGGCTCAATGATTTCATGCTGAATCAAACTGTCCTCCCAGTACGAAGGGGATAAATTTGTTCTAACACATAAGAATAGAGAACATAACATAACTCCCATAAAACCTGTTTTTATCAGCTTCTCATGAAGCCCAGTAAAAGAAGGTAAGAATCAATTTTGAAGTTGTAGGATAATTTAATCCAACCCAGAAGAAATAAGCAGTTTGCCTAAAGCCATAAAATGAACAGTTTTCCTGATATCCTGCTGGCCCTGTCCTCAAAAACTTCAGTTGATAACAAGAGGCCAGAGGATGAATATAATGTAGAAAAGACTGAATTTAGTTTTCAAATTGAGAGTGAAGGAAATAAGAAATATGTGAGATGAACACATGACTAAACATATCTGTCATAATGTGTGTTTCTACATAAATCTTCCTACCTGAGAACAGCCTCATCAAGCTCTTGTGGTCTATTAGTTGCACCCATTACAAGTACTCTGTCATCTCCAGCAGACTGTACCTATAAGCCAAAAATATTGTTTTCAGTACTTTTAGAGAAAGTAGTAACAAAGTAAAACATAATAAAGATATCTGTATCTCTAATTTGGATCATTTAATAGGAAAATATATACATTAAAATGTTACCACATTAAAAATATCAGAACCAATACTTACACCATCAAATTCTATTAGAAATTCAGTTTTTAGGCGTCTACTAGCATCATGTTCTCCTTCTCTTCTTTCACACAAAAGGCTATCAACTTCATCTAGAGGAAATACAAGGATAAGACTTGAATTAAAAGCCAACCTATATGAGTTATCTGAGATTAATCTAGTTTACTACTTCAATTATTAATACAGTGGGTCCTACTCAATTCATTAGATAGTCTTTAACGTTGTTTTTCTTGAAAACTTTTTCCTTTCCAATAAGCTTTCCTATAATACCCCTTGTATATGGAGAGGGAAATTTCACAAAGGGTCAACTAACTTAGTAGGTAAACATGTTCTTACCTATAAAAATTATTGAAGGTTGAAGTTCTCGAGCCACAGCAAAAAGAGCTCTCACCAACTTCTCTCCTTCTCCCACCTAAAAGAAGGCATTACACATTATCACATTCATACAATGTAACATTATTCCAGCTTTTAAAGTTTCATGATTGAAAGTCTAGAACCTAGGAATTTAATTTCCTTTCTTTACAATAACCAAAGATTTGGTTTAAGGAATTGGGAAGAGGGTACCGGAGTTTACTGAAATATCCCTTATAATTTTACAAAATAGGTCATTTATTTATTATTTAATACAGTCTGGTAAGTACTATAAAAATAAAATATATGTTTTGCTTGAAACTGCATTCCTAAAACTTGAGAATGAAATAGCTTTTAGTCAAAGGTAAAACAAGAGGGAAGAAAAAGTAAGAGAGGAGAGAACGATGCTGTACATATTCCTTTAACCCTAGATTGCAGGCCATGTATCTATCTATACATATAAAGAGGAAATATGCAAAATAGGCCAGGACGCCGTAACGGGTCACGACCTGACAGGAGGAGGTTGCATGTGCAGGTGAGGCCCAGAGCGGAGACGGAGACAGAGACAGGGTGCCCTGGCTCAGGCGGGCCTCCTGGAACCGGAGCAGACATGGACAGGGATGGGGGGCCGGCCCGCAGCCTCCGTGGCCGAACACAGGCCCAGAGAGGAGATGGTGGGCCCACCTCACAGGGAAGCAGCGCGGTTCCCTCCCGCCTCCCGGCTCCCGCGGAAGTGGCCTGGCTCCTTTCTGGCTCCCATGGGCGCTGGCGGCTCGCTTCCGCCTCCCGTGGAAGCAGCACGGATCTCTGCGGCGTGCTGCGGTTCCCACCTGCTCCCGCAGAAGCGGTGGGCGGCTTACTGCGCGCGATATTGCGTGATGGGCTACTAGTATTTATATAAAAGCAGGTAAATTAGAAAGTGCTCTACTGAACAAAACTTGCTCTATTAAGAACATCTTGAAAACTTATTCTCACAATATCACTATCAATTAGTATCAAAATATTTCTAGGTAGTCCAGGAGGTCTATGTACACCTCTTAAGAAACCATACTAAAACCACTTTATTCACCAAAGCATCTAACAAAAGGATCATGAGATTTGGGGTAATCTGTAAAAACTATCCTGTCCTAGGTGGCATCTATTCTTTTTATTGAAAATTTCATTAAGAAGAAAAAGAAAAAAGATCTGGCCCCAGATTGGAATTATCAAAACAAATATTCTTGTCCTGTTCTCAGATGTAGGGTCTCCGAGGTTCTCCAGGGCTCCCCTGCGGGCCAGGCTTCTTCCTTGAACAGAAGCCTGAATTTTGGGGTCCAGCTGTGTAAGCTATTCTCCTTTGCTAGCAATTGGTGTTGGGGTGTCATGTGATCCGGTTCTGGCTAATAAGACCTATGGGAAGTCTCTCTGGCAAAGTTTCCATTTGTTAAGGGGGAAGAGAATGAGGGGAAATTCCTTCCTGCTTGGGATGCTGTGGTGGAAGGTGTGATACTTGGCACCCAGCAGCCTCGTTGCCACTGAGGGGAGACAAGGTCAACTCTTGAAAGATGACAGTGGAGGTATTGACAGCACCAGGCTTTTCACACACTATCGAGTCACCAAGGGAAGTTTGGGAATTCCTGTTCCAAGATCTTGTTAAGGTGAAATAATTAATGCTTTAATTAATGGCACTGCCTTTTTTTTTTTGGCCCAAAGTTACCTAAATGATACACACTTTTATTCTTTCTTGCTCTAGAAATAGTTTTGTTTTGTGTGTTTTTTTGGGGGGGGGGAGGGGCAGGGGGGAAGTTGTTGTTTTTTAACAAGGCAAAAATTGGCCAGACTCTACTCATCCTGGTGTTTGTTTTCCAAACATCACTGTGAAGGATTGCGTTTCCTGAGTAACAAAGGTCTGAGCACTCGGTGGCCATGGGTTCCAATCCACTTCCTCCTCCACTAATCCCAAGGTGTGAAGATGCACTGAAAATGGCAGCTATAGTTCTGCTGAGTGATTCCCTGTGCCGGCAAGGGCTGACTGCTCCCACTCACTCCTCATTTGTCAGGCCCCTCTATCAAGTATGTGACGTTACTGTCCCCATTTTACAAGAGAAACCGAGGCTCAGAGCTTCAAGGGTGCAGGCTGAGAGATCACCTGTTATGACATTAACACTTTATGAATGAAGTAAGGCCTGAAGTGATACTTTAAGGCCTGCTCTGAATGTAAAAGCTAGATTGGAATCCCATTCTTCCAGCTTCCAAGACAGTGTTTATAAGGTGGATAAACCAACATTAATAACAATTTTACTAACAGAATTTCACATAGGAAACAAAATGTAACCAGGAAAAGAGGTATTGTTTTATAGTTACTTTTAATTACTTTACACAATTGAGAACCCTGCCAATATCTGATCTTGGATTTTTAGCCTCCAAAACTGTAAGACAATAAATTTCTGTTGTTTAAGTCAACCAGTTTATGGTACTTTGTTACACAGCCCTAGTATTTAACAACAATTCTAATTTTAAAAGAATTTAATAAAATGTACATGATTTTCTACTATGAAGAGTGATATTCATCATCTCTGAATAATAGGTATAAAACTCACAGACAAGTATTTTGGTGTATGGTATTACCATTTACATTTAACATTAACATTTAGACAGTAACTTAAAACATGAAAATACTGGAAAAAATACTCACATATTTTGAAGTTAAGCTTGCAGCACTTATATTAAAGAAGGTTGCATTAGATTCTGCAGCTACTGCTTTAGCCTTTAAAAATCACAAGGGCAAATATTATATTAGTTCCATAACTTGCTTTAAAATGGTAAATACATCTGATCAACTTAAGTACAAGAAAAGAATTTCTAAAAATATAAGGCATGAAACAGTCCCTAGTACTAGTATATGGCAATGTGTTCCCTTCTCAGCAATGAGCAAAAAAATCTATGAAGGGCTGTGCTTCTTTCCACTCCCTTCTTTTCCTAAGGGAAAACAGATAGGGAGAGGTAAAAAATAAAAAAAATAAAGGGGGTGTTATTCTCTTCCTAGTTATAGAAAGATAACTAGAGAAAGATAAACAGCTAAGAAAAAAGTTACTCTTTCCTTATTTACTTTTTCCCTCTAGAATACCTAGCTATGCAGAAGAAAGAGGTATCCACATCCTAGTAACTTTTGGCAAAAGGTAATTAGGAAAAAAAAAATCTGTTGTGTGTTAATTATACTTCAATTAAAAAAAAGGAAAAAAGTTTATATCATGTTAATTATTTAAATAAAGCTGTTAAGATAAAAAAAATCAAGGATTAGGAAGATGCTCAATATAGTAAGCTCTTCTAAGGTAAAAATGTTATTTAAATTGGGAAAATAATAAAAACTACACTATTAAATTTAATTTGCCCAAACATATTACTGAAGATAATATGTATGGTTTTCCATCTATTTTGTCATTGAAAACTAGTTTAAAAATTTAGAAAAGTATATTTTAACAAAAAGCAAGACATAGCCCTAGCCGGTTTGGCTCAGTGGATACAGCATCGGCCTGTGGACCGAAGGATCCTGGGTTCAATTCCGGCCAAGGACACATGCCCGAGTTGCAGGCTTGATCCCCTGTGCAGGAGGCAGTCAATCAATGATTCCCTCTCATCACTGATGTTCTTATCTGTCTCTCCCTCTCCCTTCTTCTCTGAAATCAATAAAAATATATTTTTAAAAAAGCAAGTCATAAATAGTAGACTCAGGTGACATTTATAATACTTCCAATAATAAAGATAAATTTTTAAAAAATCATAATAGATTCAGGGACAATGTAAAATTTTTCAAAATTATTAGCCCTAATATCTTAATAGAACATTCAAATTTAAAAAGAATTCTTACCAGCATTGTTTTCCCATTTCCAGGTGGACCAAAGAGTAACAATCCTCTGGCAGGAGCTCTAAGCCCTGTAAACAACTTAAACATATACACACAATTATGATTCTGAAGATACTTTTTCCAGGCATTTTAAAAATTATTTGTCATCTAAAAAGGACTATTTTTAGTAGCATCCTCCAAAACAGAGATGCCCAGAGCTCTAAAGAGAACACAATAAACTAGTATAATTATTAAAAACAGAAGAAAACAAAATAAAACCAAATCCTCATTGATCAAAATGAAAGCCAACTTGTTGAACAAGCCATATTATTGAACATAGGTATGCTTCTTTACTTCCTTTAGAAATCTCACCAAAATAATAGCAAATGAGTAAAAAGATAAAAATCTTCAAAAGAAAAAGAATAGAAGGAATAGGAAAGGAGACAACACAGGACACAACAAATGTTAGTAGATGGAAAATTGATAACGTGTGGTAAGTTATTTAGCAGAGCTGAGGGAGCTAAAATCTAAGTGCCTGCTTGTGGAGGGATAGCTAGATACAAGGAGCAAGTTGATCCCATATAATAAAAGCCTAATATGCAAATCGAATGACTGGCAGAATGACAGGTTGTTATGATGCGCACTGACCACCAGGGGGCAGACGCTCAATGCAGGAGCTGCCACCTGGTGGTCAGTGCACTTCCATATGGGGAGTGTCACTCAGCCAGAAGCTGGCTCATGGCTGGCCAGCGCAGAGGTGGTGGCAGGAGCCTCTCGCACCTCCGTGGCAGCACTAAGAATGTCCAACTAACGGTTTAGACCCAATCCCTTGGGGGCCTAAGCCTTTAGTCAGACATCCCCCGAGGGCTCCCTGCTGCCCCATGGTGGTCAGTGCGCTCCTACAGGGGGAGTGCCACTCAGCCAGAAGCCGGGCTCATGGCTGGCGAGCGCAGCGGCGGTGGTGGGAGCCTCTCCTGCCTCCAGGGCAGCGCTAAGGAGCAGCAAGGAGGCGGGCGGTAAGGAGAGAGAGGTCCCAGACTGCGAGAGGGTGCAGGCCTGCCTGAGGGACCGCCTCCCCCCAGTGCATGAATTTCATGCACTGGGCCTCTGGTATGAACAAAAAACCCTGGAAAAGCTCAGGAAGTGGAGGCATCAGGTACCAGAGAAAGCATCAGTAAGGTAGGCAGCCCAAAACAGAAATGATTAAAAGTTTGTATGAAGAACTGAACATATGTTCCTGTAAGCCTTTCCCCAGCCCCACCAACAGCACTTAGGCAAGTATTCCTCTTCCATAACCAAAGCAGGTAGAAGTTTTATTCTAGAGAAATTAAACCAGAGTCTCCAGACTCAGGGACATTGCGTTTAGCAAGAGTCAATGGTGAATCACCAGGCTGATAACACTTCAATTAATAGTGAAGGTGTATGAACCCCCCCCCCCAAAATATGTTTTTATTAATTCGAGAGAGAGAGAGAGAGAGAGAGAGAGAGAGAGAGAGAGAGAGATAGAAACATTGATGAGAGAGAAACACTGTCAGCTGACTCCTACACATTCCCTACTGAGGATCCAGCTGTCAACTGGGGAATGTGCCCTGACCAGCAATCGAACCAGCAACCTCTTTGTACATGGAATGATGCTCAACCAATATGAACCATCCTAGCCAGGCAAGGTGTTGAAGCATTTGAAGTGGGTGATACTCAACTTTTTAAAAAAATTATATAGCCGAAACCGGTTGGCTCAGTGGATAGAGCGTCGGCCTGCGGACTGAGGGGTCCCAGGTTCGATTCCGGTCAAGGGCATGTACCTTGGTTGCGGGCACATCCCCAGTGGGAGATGTGCAGGAGGCAGCTGATCGATGTTTCTCTCTCATCGATGTTTCTAACTCTCTATCTCTCTCCCTTCCTCTCTGTAAAAAATCAATAAAAAATATATTTAAAAAAAAAAAATTAAAAAAAAATAAAAATAAATAAATAAAAATAAAAAATTATATATATTTTTAGAGGTTTTAGGCTTACAGAAAATTGAATGGAAAAGTACAGAGTTCCCGTGTAACTCCTAACCTCCCATTTCTCCCATTATTAACATCTTGCATTAGTGTGGTACACTTATTTTAAGTAATGAACCAATATTGATATATTATTATTAACTAAAGTCCATAGTTTACATTAGGGTTCACTGTTTGTATCATGTAATCCACTATTACAGTATCATACATAATCATTTCCCTGCCCTAAAAATATCTACTGTGATATGAATTAATCATTCTAGCATAGCTCAAACATTTCTTTAATGCTACTGCAGATTCAGTAATAGATGATGTTACAGAAAATAATAATATATAACCCTTACCTCAGGCCTCAGAGAAGGAAGAATGACAATTTCTTGTAATGCTTGTTTTGCTAATTCTTGACCAGCTACATCATCAAATTTAACAGCCGTTCCACTAAGAAACAGAATTTCAATTATCTCCACAATAGAAATATGCTTCAGTTATTATAAAATACAGTTTATGGTCTATGAAACATGGTCATTTTATGTTAACTGTGAAAACTATAGGTAATCAGTAAAACAATCATTTTCTACATGTACCGTATAATTAAAAACCATTATAAGAACTAAATATGTAAATTAGACAAGTATTTAACTATTTCACTCATGATACATTTTATAAATAAGATTCAAAAATAGAAACTGTAAAACAAAATAGTTCAGATGGCAAAACTTACTTGTCTACAATTTCATTCATTATAAGGTTAGCGAGGTTACTGTCCACGTTCCTAAAATTCTTCAAGTCTTTCTTTTTACGAGCAGCAGTTGTAGGGGTTGAAGGTTTATTTGTTCGATTTGTTTTTGGTGTACTCTTAAAGGACACAAGTTGTAACGTGAAAATACAACCTAACATTTACACTTTTCACAAGTGAATTAACTTTAAAGTTCACAGATATTCAAAAATATAAGAAATATAAAATTTTTTTAAATGTATATTTACTCCAATGGTATTCACTAAAGAAATACATTTGGCATGCAGTAGGTTAATTCAGGATTTTATCCAGAGATTTAGTTACTGAAAGGTAAAAAGGCTCTATATCAATGCAATCATGTAATTTTGATCCTTGTTAGAACTGTATGTATGTTTAATGTTACAAAACATTTATATAGGTTTAAATAATTAAAAGAATAACGAAATTAAAATGAACTACATAGCATTATATAAAACTGGATAAGCAAACTAACTATAAATAAAGCCTAATTAGGATCAAAAGGAGGTAAAATAAGATATGCTTTTTAACAGCAAGTTGCCCTGATTTTTTTTTTAAAGAAAAATTATATTCAATTTTATGGAAACTTATCAATCCTTTAAGGTAGCGGTTCTCAACCTGTGGGTCGCGACCCCTTTGGGGGTCGAACGACCCTTTAACAGGGGTTGCCTAAGACCATCGGAAAACACATATATAATTACATATTGTTTTGCGATTAATCACTATGCTTTAATTATGTTCAATTTGTAACAATGAAATTGGGGGTCACCACAACATGAGGAACTGTATTAAAGGGTCGTGGCATTAGGAAGGTTGAGAACCACTGCTTTAAGGTATCATAAAGTACTTGTAATAAACTGAAGCAAGCACATCATGTTGAAATTTTTCTATTTGCAATTCTATCTCCAAATACCTTATGAGTGGCAGTTGCAGGACCAGGGCCCTGTCTCACTCCAGAAACCATGGATAAGCCACTGCAACTGGGTGCTCTGTGGTGGCCTGAAAGACCTGTGGATCCAGCTTTCATAACTGTCTTTGAACGAGGCAGCGAATTACTAGGGTGTGTTAAGGGATCTTTTCTTTTTGGAACTGCTCCACTTTCTATTAAGGAAATAGTAAAATCGCTATGGTTAGAAAATTTTGGTTTAACATTATAAAAGTAATAATAAAAACTAAGTAGCTCAGTTGGTTAGAGCGTAATACCCATATGCAAAGGTTGCAGGCTCAATCCCGGGTCAGGTCACAAACAAGAATCAAGCAATGGGGCCAGCTGAGAGGTCACAGTTTGATTCCCAGTCAGACCACATATACTCAGGTTGTGGGCTCGATCTCCAGAGTGGGGCCTGCAGGAGGCAGCAATTCAACGATTCTCTCTAATCACTGATATTTCCATCTCTCTCCCTCTCCAAAAACCAATAAAAAACATTTATTTGTTTATTAAATATTTTTATTGCTTTCAGAGTGGAAGGGAAAGGGATAGAGAGATAGAAATGTCAATGATGAGAGAGAATCATTGATTGGTTGCCTCCTGCATGCCCCACACTGGGGATCGAGCCCGCAACCTGGGCATGTGCCCTTGGCTGGAATCGAACCTGGGACACTTTAGTCTGCAGGCCGAAGCTCTATCCACTGAGCCAAACCAGCTGGGGCAAAAAATATTAAAAAAAAAAAATCAACCAGCCCTAGCTGGTTTGGCTCAGTGGATAGAGCATCAAACTGCAGACTGAAGGGTCTCAGGTTCAATTCTGATCAAGGGCACATGCCCAGGTTGTGGGCTTGAACCCCAGTAGGGAACGTGCAGGAGGCAGCCAATCAATGATTCTCTCTCATCATTGATGTTTCTATCTTTCTCTCCCTTCTTCTCTAAAATCAACATTTATATATATATATATAAAATTTATTTAAGAAATAAATAAAAATTTTGCTTGGCAGAAAAATATAAGGGGACCATGCACGTGGAATGAAGTAAAGAGACTCTAGACAACAACGGGAATGCATATAAGCTTTTTAAGGCTAGGAAATTTTTGCCGTTTATCCTGGTAGGATTATTAGGATCTCAAATCTGTACTTTGGAAGCTTAACTATTTATTGTGGTAAATTCTTACATTTCTTTCTTTTCAAAAAGTTCCTTATGAAAATGTCAGCGTTTCACAGCAGTGCTAAGAGAAACAGATAAAATATTTATCTCTACTTGAAATGTTATTTTAAGTCAGGTACAGGAAGAAATGAGAAGAGAAATATAGCTACTGATGCAGAGCTCTGAACTGGAAATCAAACCTAAGTGAAAAATCTAAGGGATCACTGAAACCACAGGGAAAGATTTCGTTAATGACCAACTGTCTCTTTCACCTATAGAAATCCACTTACACTAACTTTTCTCTATTGAAATCTTGTAAGTTTTGTATTACATATGAATAAAGAAGGCAGTGGTCTTACAGTCTGGACTAAGGGTGTTTCTTCCTTTTTTAAAAAAATTTACTACAATTTAAACAAAGCAATATTTACATCAATAAAATTTAAGCTCCGGACATGAAACTAATGTTGAATAAGTCACCAATAAAACTAACCAAGAAGTCAGAGAACCTAGGAAAGGAAGATTCTTCCCACCAAAACAAAATTTAAAAAGCATTTAATGTTCTGTAAGAGTTCATACCTGAAAGTTCATGAAAAACAAATTTAACCCATAATAAAAAATAGTACTCCAGTGTTTCTCCTCACTTTGTGAATTCAGCTTCAAATTTTTCTAGCAGGTATTATGATAAAACATTCATGTATAGCATACATGAAAACTGATTTATAAGAAAAATAAAAATTTATCTTACGAAAACACCTCTTCATAAAAACCTGGTTTAGCTACCCATGGAAAAAACTACAAAAGCTAAAAATACAATAGAAACAAAAGAATAATTTAAACTTAGAAAAATGAGTCTTTGTATTTTATAATTTCAAAAATTAGAGGTTGCAAAAAAGCACATTGATAATGGCTATATCTTATTTGTTACATGTTTATATAATATGAATGATAGGGATACTGTATTTTCAACATAGCCCTGTGCAAACAAAACACAATCAAAACTACCACTATAAAATCAAATCAACATTATCAGGTTAAGTGGGACTTTACTTTGCATGCAAACTTTATTATTTTACATGTTAGTTAACCTAAACCCACCTGACTGGAGCTGTCCATTACGGCATGTCAAGTTAGTACTGTCATTATAGACGTCTGTTTGTGATTTGGAAAATTGCAAAACTGGTTGCAGCTTCTCTATGCAACAGAGGGGGGTAAGAAAGAATAAACAAAAATAAAAAATACATAATGAACATAATGATACATGTGAAAATGAAAAATGAGTTAAAAGTGTTACAAGATTATTACATGATGAAGGGTCTTGCATTTTTATAAAATTCTCCTAAAAATATAATTAGTAAAAACTCAGACATTAAAATAGCATCAGAAATTAACAAATGAATGGCTATGTTAAAAATATGCCTTATTCAGGTTTGGTAACCTGAGGCAGTTCCATATCACTATTATCACCAGCAAATATTTTCTGAAAATCTAGTATGTCCAAGTCATTGGGTAGAAAGAGCAGCATGGAGATAAATAAATGAATATGGTTTATACCATCCATATATTTATTAAATACTAGAGGCCCGGTGCACAAAATTCATGCAAGAGAGGGAGGTTCCTCAGCCCAGGTTCCTGCAACTTCTTGCAATCTGGGACCCCTCAGGGGATGTCCGACTGCCAGTTTAGGCCCGATGGCTTCTAACTGCTCGCCTGCCTGCCTGATCGCCCCTAACGACTGCCAGTTTAGGCTCATTGGCTCCTAACCACTCGCCTGCTTGCCTGATCATCCCTAACTGCTCGCCTGCCTGCCTGATCACCCCTAACCACTCTGCCTGCCTGCCTGATCACCCCTAACTGCTCGCCTGCCTGCCTGATCACCCCTAACCACTCTGTCTGCCTGATTGCCCCTAACCACTCTGCCTGCCTGATCGCCCCTAACCACTCGCCTGCCTGCCTGATTGCCCTAACTGCTCGCCTGCCTGCCTGATCATCCCTAACCGCCTCTGCCTCGGCCCCCGCTGCAGCAGCTTCGTCCCGAAGTCAGGAATGATGTTTGGCTGTCCGGTCTAATTAGCATATCACACTTTTATTATTATAGACTAGAGGCCCAGTGCATGAAAACTCATGCACTGGAAGGGGTCCCTCAGCCCAGCCTGCCCCATCTCACAATCCGGGAGCCCTCAGAGGCGGGAGGCGACTTGGTGATCAGGGGAAGGCGACGCCCCATCACACCTCTGCTGCTGCCACTGCCGGCAGCGCAAGCCTTGGCCGGCCCTGGTTACCTGAGCCTCGGGCTTGCCTGTGCCTCGGGCTGGCCCTGGACAGCTGGGGGGCTGAGGGGACTGGGGGTCTCTGGAGGCATGCACATGGAGCGGCTGGGCCAGCCTAGGGGCAGGCCGGGCCTTGATGCGCGCCTGCCTCTCCTGGTGGGGCTGAGGGGACTGGGCGCTGCCATCTTGTGGCTGTGGGTGCTGCCATCTTTGAGGGCGGGGCAGTCAATTAGATATTTCCTCCTTACTGGCTGTAGGTGCCGCCATCTTTGAGGGCAGGGCAGTCAATTAGCATATTCCCTCTTTATTGGCTGTGGGCACTGCCATCTTTGCAACAGTGTGAGGGTCAATTAGCATATTCCCCTCTTTATTAGATAGGATAATTGGCAACTTACAACACAAATTTTTTTTAAAAAAAGAGATTGTATAGCATAAAAGAAAGAGAACATTAAAAAGGCTTTCCAGAAAAAGTGAGCTGTGAGTTGGCTAGGATTTGAAAAGATAAAAAGAAAGGACATTTCAGAAAAGAACGGTACTTAAAATGACACAAAAGGAAACTACAAGGAGTGTCTAAAAAATGCCATATTCAACTACCTTAACACATGTCAAGCAAAAGATAAAGGCAATAAAGCAGAATGGCTAAAGCATGCTTCAGAACTATGTGTTCAATACCTTACCATTTATTTGTGCACACTTGTATCAGTAGTCTCCCTTTATCTGCAGGGGATACATTCCAAGACCCCCAGTGGATCCCTGAAAGCATGGATAGTACCGAACCCTACATACACTATGGATTTTCCTATACAAACACACCTATAATAAAGTTTAACTTACAAATTAGGCACAGTAACAGATTAGCAGCAATAACTAACAAAATGGAACAATTACAATATACTGTAATAAAAGTTATATGAATGTTGTCTCTCTCTAAAAACTGATCTGATCACTGAGACGGCTACTAAGTGACTAATAGGCAAGTAGCAAATACAGTGTGGATGTGCTGGACAAAGGGGTGATTTACAAAGGGACAGAGTGAGAAGACTTGAGATTTCATCATGCTTTTCAGAACAGCATGCAATTTAATTATACACTGTTTCTTTCTGGAATTTTCCATTTAATATTTTTAGATTGCAGTTGACTGCAGTTAACTGAAACTACAGAAAACAAAACCGTAAGGGGAGAATTAGTACTATACACAAAGATTATCTCTAAAAAGGATGCAGAGAACCTGAACCAGTTTGGCTCAGTGCATAGAGCGTCAGCCCTCAGACTGAAGGTCCCTGGTTCGATTCTGCTCAAGGGCATGAACCTTGGTTGTAGGCTCAATCCCCAGTAGGGGGCGTACAGGTGGCAGCTGATCGATGTTTCTCATAGAGTTTCTAGCTCTCTATTCCTCTCCTTCCTCTTTATAAAATCAATAAAAAGGATACAGAGAGCCAAACTGGTTTGGCCCAGTGGATGGAGCGTCGGCCTACGGACTGAAAGGTCCCAGGTTCGATTCCAGTCAAGGGCATGTACCTTGGTTGTGGGCACATCCCCAGTTGGCGGTGTGCAGGAGGCAGCCGATTGATGTTTCTCACTCTCTATCCCTCTCCCTTCCTCTCTGTAAAAAAATCAATAAAATATATTAAAAAAAAAAAAAGGATACAGAGAAACTGGTGACAGCAGCTGCCCCTGGGGAAGGGAAAGGAGTGGTTGGAGAATATTATGGGATGATTGATTTTTATACTTAAACTTTTGTGGCATGTGCCTGTATCACCTATTTTAAAAATTAACCTAAAATATAAAAGGATTATTTCAATTCTATCCCTACTTCAAATAACAACAAATTTTCTCTCATGATCTAGGTCTAGGCCTACCTAGCACCTGAAGCTTAAGAGGGTAGCAGTTTGAAATTCCTTGCCACCCTACATCACTGCTGCACTCTTTTTCCCCATTCAAGTCAATCAATACTGCTAGTTGACAAACATCCTGCTCTACCACTTACTAGCATTAACTTGCTTTAGCTTCAGTTTTCTGATGGTCTCAAGGATTAAATAAAATCCTATATAATAAAAGCCTAATATACTAAGTGTCCAGTCGTCCGCTCAACCAATCAAAGCATAATATGCTAATGATATAATAAGGCTGCTCAACCACTCACTATGACATGCACTAACCGCCAGGGGGCAGTCGACTGGTAAACCAGTTGCTATGACGTGCACTGACCACCAGGGGGCAGATGCTCCAACTGTTAGGTTAGCTTGCTGCTGGGGCCCGGCTGATGGGTGAGCGAGACTGGCCGGACATGTCCTGGAGCGCTCCTGAGGTCCCTCCCCGGCTGGTCAACCTCCCACATTCCTCCAACGTGCACCGGTGGGGTCCCTTAGCCTGGCTTGCACCCTCTTGCAATCCGAGACCCCACAGGGAATGTGGGAGAGCTGGTTTCAGCCTGATCACACAGGCCAGGCTGAGGGACCCCACTGGTGCATGAATTCACTGAGTATATACATATATACATAAAGTACCTACCCTATGCGTCAGTCACAACAGGGGCTCAATTTTTACATTAATATTGTTGAAACATTCCAAGTTATCATAACTGATTATTTTCTTCAATACTAGAAAGTCAATGAATACATGCACAAATATACCACATATATACTAACTCTCCTAAACTTCCATTTCTTTTTTTTTTTTTTTCTTTTTCTAAACTTCCATTTCTATGGTTAGACAAGTAGGCATCATGCTTGGTTTATGGTATACCACACATGCTTTTGGGACAGGTTAAATAGCAGCTACTCTTTTTGCACAAAGCACAAAGTACTGCACAGCTTTTGTATCCTAGAACTGGCTGATAGAATATACCTCAGAGCTGGGGTTTTTGTTGTTCTTGTTAGTTAACAGGTAGGTCATCTGATTTTTCTCAATGATAATTCTGTTCAAATCACCATACTGAGAAAGAACCTTTTGTGTTGGCAAAAGATATAAATTAGAGCCTGGCCAGTATGGCTCAGCAGTTGAGGGTTGACCCAGGAATCAAGAGGTCAGAGGTTCAATTTCTGGTGGGCTCAATCCCCAGTAGAGAGCATGCAGGAGGCAGCCAATCGATGATATTCCTCTCTCATCAATGTTTCTCTCTATCCCTCTCCATTCCTCTCTCTAAAAGTCAATTTAAAAAATAATATAAATAATATAAATTAGAAAACTGATTTGTAAATGTCTTCTTTATTAACACTCTCTTCAATGGAATGTAACAAAAGTTCACATAAACATTCATTATACAGTAAAAATAATCAGAAATTAAATCCTTAGCTTTGATAATAACTAGGATGGGGGATATTTTTCCATTAGTTTTCAAAGAGACTGGGAGAGAGAGGGAATGACAAGGAGAAACATTGATGTGAGAGAAACACATCAATTGGTTGCCTCCTGCCCAAGCCCCAACCAGGGCCCAGGTCTGGGAGGAGCCTGCAACCAAGGTATGCGCCTTTGATCGGAATCGAATCCAGGACCCTTTAAATGCATGGAAACACACACACACGTACATAGTAGCAGTACACTGCTAATGTGAACCTGTTCCTATTCATTTCTGTTCAAGAATGTAAACTTAGTTTAATGCTTCTTTTTAGAATGACTAAACATTGTGCAATCAATAATTTAAAATAAAACAGTAATCTTGTTTCTTGATCCTTTCACTTGCAATCCCCATACAATCATCTACTTAAAAGGAAAATTTGCCCTGGCCGGTGTGGCTTAGTTGGTTGATTTCCAGTCAGGGCATATATCTGCATTGTGGGCTCGATCCCCAGTGTGGGACGTGCAGAAGGCAGCCGATCAATGATTCTTTCTCATCATTGATGTTTCTATTTCTCTCTCCCTTAATCTCTGAAATCAATAAAAATGTATATATTTTAAAAAGCTATATCTTATCTTTGAGAGTCATATGATCTTTGTATCAACTATTTAACTCTGTCACTGTAGCATGAAAGCAGCCAGACAGTGTTTAAAGAAATGAGAGTAGCTGTGTGCCAATTCATAAAAATGGGCAGTGAACTGGGATTAGCTCATGGGCTGTAATTTACAAGCCTTTGGTATAGATAAATCAAGACTGACTATGGGGTAGCCGAAACCGGTTTGGCTCAGTGGATAGAGCGTCAGCCTGCGGACTGGGAGGTCCCGGGTTCGATTCCGGTCAAGGGCATGTACCTGGGTTGCGGGCACATCCCCGTGGGGGATGTGCAGGAGGCAGCTGATCGATGTTTCTCTCTCATCGATGTTTCTAACTCTCTCTATCTCTCTCCCTTCCTCTCTATGAAAAATCAATAAAATATATATTAAAAAAAAAAAAAAAAAAAAAGACTGACTATGGGGTAAACTAAAAAAAACTTTAACTATGTACTTATTAATGCATTGACAAATAGCAATAAACTACGCATCACATGTTAGCAAAAAAAAAAAAAGAAAAAGACTATGGGCTCATAGTTATTAAAGCTAAGTGATGGATAATTATCATTATACTCTTCTATTTTGCATGTTAGAACTTTCCTATAATAAAAAAGCCTAGATCACATTATCAAGATCATTCATCTATTTCCATCTACATTAAACGTTTCAATGAACACACATTTCAGATACAATTCATTCCAATTATAAAATTCATTGATACCTAGAAGTTGTAAACGGTCCTTGGCCATAACCAAATTAGTCATCATTTTAGCTTGAAGGCGTCTAGCTCTTTCACATTGTTCGCCTGAAAGAAAAGAAAAAAAAAGAATTAAAATACCTATGTTTCCTTACTAATATTGCTTCAAGATAAAATATTAGCCCAACTAATCTCATGGGAGTCAGAGTCTTTATAAAAAGAATTTAGAAAAGTCTGGCCAGTGTGGCTCAGTGGTTGAGCATCCACCCATGAACCAAGAGGTCACTGGTTCGATTCCCAGTCAGGGCACAGGCATAGGTTTAGGGCTTAATCCCCAGTGGGGGTGTGCAGGAGAAAAAACATCGGTGATATTTTTCTCTCATTGATGTTTCTATCTCTCTATCTCTCTCCCTTTCTCTCTCTGTAAAAATCAATAAAAACATATATACTTATTAATATATTTTTATTGCTTTCAAAGAAGAAGTAAGGAGGAGAGGGAGACAGAAACATCCATGATGAGAATCATTGATTGGCTTCCTCCTGCACACCCCTGGGTTGCAGGGGATCGAGCCTGCAACCCAGGCATATGCCCTTGACTGGAATTGAACCCGAGACCCTTCAGTCCACAGTTCGATGCTCTAACCACTGAGCAAAACCAGCTAGTAAAAACATATCTTAAAAATTAATAAAATATTATTTTCAAATAATAGCTTTCAAAAAATAAGCTACAGTTCTATATGCTGGTTTCAGATCTACTGTGGTATTCCATGAATTTTGAAACTTATTTCTTACCCTACAATTTTTTAATTTAGATGATAGGGAAGTAAAGATATGACATAACTACTTTGGTTTTAAAAAGACAAATGTGAATCAAAGTAAAACACTTATAGTGCATATTCTAACATGCAGTCAAGCAATACAAGTGCAAAGGGGAGTCTGTAGATTAACCACTCCCCACTGCCTCAACAATGTAGAAAGATTTCAAAAATATGACTATAGATTAATATTTTGGGTGGGAAGAAAGGTATCACACTTGGAGGCAGGTTAAGATCAAAGACACCCAGGTATATTATATCAACTTTACTTTAATAAAAAGAAAAAAGAAACACACGTGTGTGTACCTGCACACAGCACCCCGGTATAATTACAGCCAACCCTTTTCTTACTGTAGGAAAGTGAAACTGTTATAGTGAAAATTGGTACCAAAAAAATATATATATATATGGCTAAACATAAGGCTAAAACACCACTAACAGTAGGTCCAAGGACACAAGTAATACACTGTTTTTTTGCCTGACTACTACAGGCAATCAATCAAGTTTGAGCATTTCTGGTTGTAACTTTATTTCTGCCTAGATAAAAACACATGAACTTTAAGTCTACAAACATTAACATAGGCTGATTACATTTAAAAATTACGTTTTTAGCCAAAACCGGTTTGGCTCAGTGGATAGAGCGTCGGCCTGTGGACTGAGGGGTCCCGGGTTCGATTCCGGTCGGGGGCATGTCCCTGGGTTGCGGGCACATCCCCAGTGGGGGGTGTGCAGGAGGCGGCTGATCAATGTTTCTCTCTCATCGATGTTTCTAGCTCTCTGTCTCTCTCCCTTCCTCTCTGTAGGGAGTCAATAAAATATATTTTTAAAAAGAAATCATGTTTTTAAAAACGTTTAAATACTTTTATTAAGACAAATGGATCTAAAATCAAGGCAATTGTGAATATAATCTGGATGGCTCCTAAACAAATGTAAATATAACCTTACCTTGTCCTGTAACTATGACAGCTATTCCTTTTTCTAGTTCTTCAATACCTTTCTTATACCATTCCACAGCTTGCTCCTTTTGTCCTGCTTTAAAAGAGAAATAATTATTTGTATATATCACAAGTATAAAGAACACACTAAATATCACCCAAAGCATGCTGTTATTAGGTATACATGAAAAAGAGGCTTGTGATAAAATAAATTTGAAAACTATTACTATATGACTTCTCAGTATCGTTAGCATCTTAACATATTTGTGAATCTCCAAGAGGTGGACATAGACTTCCATGAAGGAAGTCTTACGAGGAAAGGAGGCCAATGTAAATGACCTGAATTTAATCTCCCCGACTTTCATCTTAAAAAAAAAAAAAAGTATTTTTATTGATTTCAGAGAGGAAAGGAGAAGGAGAGAGAGATAGGAACATCAATTATGAAAGAGAATCACCGATCGGCTGCCTCCTGCACACCCCCTACTAGGGATCAAGCCACAAACCCAGGCATGTGCCCTGATCTGGAATTGAACCATGACCGCCTGGTTCAGAGGTCAATGCAACCTTCTGATGTATGGTATGACACTCAACCAACTAGGCCACACCAGTCGGCGCTGCATTGTTTGAGATCTTATTTGCTATATAGAGACTTAATTCATTCTTTTTGACTTCTGTATATTATCCTATATCATCCTATAATTTATTCAACAACCTAAATAAAAGATACTTAGGTTGTTTCCAGTGTTTCAACATCTCAAATAAGGCTACAATAAATGTTTTTGTGCCTGTCCCCTTATGCATATGTGCCAGTTTCTCTAGGGTATATGCTTAAGAAGTAGAATTGATGGATCACAGCTCATCACTTATTGTCTATTCATGAGAAACGTACAAACTGCTTTTTGAGTGCTTGTACCAATTTATACTTCTAATAGCTGCGTATGACTGTTCTCACTGGTTACATCTGAACAAAATGTTCTCAGTTTTAGTGCATTACCATAGGCAAATGAAAGGACTGATTACAAATAAATTCACAGTTCAATAATTATTCAATTACCTAATATTCTTTGGTAACAGGTAGTTGGTTTACTGCATTATTTAAATCTCATAAGTCAGCACAATATAAAATACATATAGATATTTCTTACCTAAAAGTAGAAGACTACAGGAGAAAGGGTAGACATATAGGTCAATTGAACAGAAAAGAATGCCTGACCTACACATATATTATTGGCTGACTCTGACAAAGACAACTATGTAATTCAATGGAGAAAGAACAGCCTTCTCAAAAAATGATGTTGGGGGGAGAACCAAGATGGCAGCATAAGGTATAAACCTGTACGTGCTGCCCCCCCACAACCACATTAAAACTATAACTAAAAGACAAAACAGCTATCATCCAGAACCATGGGAAAGCTGGCTGAGTGGAAGTTCTACAACTAGAAGGAAAGAAAAAAGTGCATTGAGACTGGGTAGGAGGTGCAGAGGCGCCAAGAGCAGAGGTACAGAGGTGCAAGCGAGGTGGGCTGCACCTGGGTGCATGGTTTTTTTCAATCGGAAGAGGATACAAGCTTTCGAATACACTGAACTCATTTACGGCGAGACTCTGGGGACCCAGACTACTACGGGGAGAAACTGGACTGTCTTGCAGCGGGTCGGAAAGCCAGGGTGGCTTTCTCGCAGAGCTGCTCGCAGGGATCATTGTTACTGTAAGGGCGCGGGACTCAGGGACTCGGGGACTCGGAGACGTGAGGAGTTGCGGAGAGGGCTGACGACAGCCCTTGCTGTTTGCTCTGCCCCACTCAATTTACATCCCCACCCAAGCAGGGCAAAGGAACCGCCTGACCTTTTACAGCCTAACCTAACAAACTGCAGCTGGGTCAGAGAGCTCCAAAACTTCCAAACCCCAAACAAAGAGGAGAAATCTGCTGATATCACTGTAGCTCCTGCTGGGTGGACTCACAGAGTGGTTGACTTGGAGATCCCGGAGCCAGGGTACCCAGTGGTCAGATACCAGATTTCAACTCCTCACATCCATAAGGGACACACTCAAGAGGCAGACTCAGGGAGGACCAAAGCCCCACTGAAGCAAGTCCTACCCCATAAGGGTGTCTCCAGCACAGCAGTTCTTCCACTATAGACACAGTGGGTCCTTGCAGTTAGACAAAATGCGGAGACAAAGAAACATATCACAAATGAAAGAAATGGAGGAAAGCAAACTACTGGACATACAGTTCAAAACCACAGTTATAAGGTTACTCAAGAATCTTCTACGAACCTCCGAGGAATTTAGTGAGACCTTCATGGATATTAATGAGAATGCCAAAAAAATGGAAAAGGACCAGTCAGAAATTAAATACACACTGACTGAAATTAAGAATAATATACAGAGATCCAACAGCAGACTAGAGGATCCCAAGAATAAAGTCAAAGATTTGAAATACGAGAAAGCGAAAAACACCCATCCTGAAAAGCAAAAAGAATCCAAAAATATGAAGATAGTGTAAGGAGCCTCTGGGACAACTTCAAGCGTACCAACATCCGAATTATGGGGGTGCCAGAAGAAGAGAGAGAGCAAGATACTAAAAGCCTATTAGAAGAAATCATGACAGAAAACTTCCCCTACCTAATGAAAGAAATAGACTTACAAGTCCAAGAAGCGAAGAGAACCCCAAATAAGAGGAATCCAAAGAGGACCACACCAAGACACATCATAATTAAAATGCCAAGGGCTAAAGACAAAGAGAGAATCTTAAAAGCAGCAAGAGAAAAACAGTTAGTTATCTACAAGGGAGTACCCATACGACTGTCAGCTGATTTCTCAACAGAAACCATGAAGTCCAGAAGGGAGTAGCAAGAAAGATTCAAAGTGATGAATACCAAGAACCTACAACCAAGATTACTTTATCCAGCAAAGCTATCATTCAGAATTGAAGATCAGATAAAGAGCTTCACAGACAAGAAGAAGCTAAAGGAGTTCATCACCACCAAACCAGGATTATATGAAATGCTGAAGGATATTCTTTAAGAAGAGGAAGAAGAAGAAAAGGTAAAGATAAAAATGTATACAACAAAGTGAGAACAAATAAATATCTATCAACAAGTGAATCTAAAAATTAAGTCAGAATAAATGGGTGAATATAATAGAAGCAGGACACAGAAAGGGAGTGGACTGACAATTCTCGGGGGGAAGGAGGTGTGGGGGGTGCGGGAAGAGATTGGACAAAAATCTTACACCTATGGATGAGGACAGTGGCAGGGGGTAAGGGCATGGGGTGGGGTGGGAACCAGGTGGAGGGGAGCTTTGGGGGGAAAAAAGAGGAACATCTGTAATAATCTGAACAATAAAGATTTATTTTTTTAAAAAATGATGTTAGGCCCTGGCTGGTGTGGCTCAGTTTGTTGAGTGTCATCTGTGCACCAAAAGACTGCCAGTTTGATTCCCAGTCAGGGCCCATGACCGGATTGCATGGCAGTGGATGTGCAGGAGGCAGCCAATTAATGTTTCATTCTCACATTGATGTTTCTCTCTCTCTCTCTCTCTCTCTCTCTCTCTCTATCTCTATCTCTATCTCTTTTCCTCTCCCTTCAAAAAAATTGATAAAAGTTTTTTTTAAAAAAGATGATGTTGAAATAATGGATGTAGATATGAAAAAAAAGCCACCTTCATGTGACATGCAAAAATTAACTTGAAATAGATCATACACCTAAATGTAAAACCTAAAAATATAAAATTTATATAAAAGAAAATATAGACAAAATCCTTTGTAATCTTGGCTTAGAAAGAGACTTGTTAAACAGAACATAAAAATCACAAACCTTAGGAGAAAAAAACTAGACTTCACTAAAATTAAAAGCTCCTGCTCTTCATAACACAGAGTTAAGATGATGAAAAGCCACAGATTTCCTGGGAGAAAATATTTGCAAAACAACATGCCTAATAAAGGACTTATAACCAGAATATATAAAAGTCTCTTAAATACAATGATAAAAACACACAAGTAACCCATTAGAAAAACAGTGGTCAAAGATCAAAACATACAGTTTACCAAAGAAGAGACATAAATGGCAAAGCACAAGAAAAGATGAAAAACAAATTAAAACCACATGGTACCACTAGGTGCCTAATTAAAAAAAGAAATCTTCATCCGAGGAGTGAGGATACTTTTTCTATTGATTTTTAGAGAGATTGGAAGAGAGGGGGAAGGGGAGGAAAGGGGAAAGGGAGATGGAAAAGGAGCGGGAGAAAGAACATCAATGTGAAAGAGAAACATCTATCAGTTGCCTCCCATATGGGATTCGAACCCACAACCAAGGTTATGTAGCTGGGAGAAAGAACATCAATGTGAAAGAGAAACATCTATCAGTTGCCTCCCATATGGGATTCGAACCCACAACCAAGGTTATGTAGCCTGACACACAAACAAGATATGGGGCCTGAGGAAATCAAACCAACAACCTTTTTGGTGCACAGTTCAATGCTCAACCAACGGAGCCACCTGCTGGGCTGGAAATTTATTTTTTATAAAACCTGACATATAAATATATATATATTTTTAGGACACAAAGTTTTCTTTAATTATTCGTTGGGGGGAAGGGACGCCACACTTCCACTCAATTAAGAGAAATATATATATATTTTTTTTAATATATATTCTATTGATTCTTCACAGAGAGGAAGGGAGAGAGATAGAGAGTTAGAAACATCGATGAGAGAGAAACATCGATCAGCTGCCTCCTGCACATCTCCCACCGGGGATGTGCCCGCAACCCAGGCACATGCCCTTGACCGGAACCGAACCCGGGACCCTTCAGTCCGCAGGCCGACGCTCTATCCACTGAGCCAAACCGGTTTCGGCAAGAGAAATATTTTTTTAAATATTTTTTTTTGTTGATTTCAGAGAGGAAAGGAGAGGGAGAGAGAGATAGAAACATTAATGATGAGAGAATCATTGATCAGCTGCCTCCTGCACACCCCCTACTGGGGATGAGCCTGCAACCGGGCATGTGCCTTTGACTGGATCCTGGGACCCTTCAGTCCGCAGACCGATGCTATCTACTGAGCCAAACCAGCTAGGGCAAGAGAAACATTTTTATCAACACAGAAGTCTTTTTTATTTTCCCCCCAGTTATCATGCCATGAATTCATAGGGAATGGGTTCCAGCAGCTCAGGCTCCTTTCCATTGGTTCTCACAGCGTGATTCTCTGGGAGCAGGCTGACGCTTCAGTTGAACCCAGGTACCTTTCTCTTTGGCTTCCTTCTTTTTCTGATCATTTTCCTTCACACGTTTCAGGAAGCTATCTCGACTCATAGAGTGTTTAATATGCTCAATATGTAAAATTATCTTGGCAAGAACCTTGCCCTTAACTTGCTTGTTCACAATAATGCCAACTGCATGCTGGGTGACATTATAGACGCTTTCAGTTTGCCATGGTAACATTTCTGGGGCATTCCTTTTTGAACAGTGCCCATTCCCTTGATGTCCACAATATCACCTTTCTTGTAGATTTGTATGTATGTGGCCAAAGGAACAACTCCATGTTTTCTAAAACGCATATAATGGGTGCCTCTCCTCTTTCCCTTTGTGTTAGTCATTTTGGCGAATAAATTGGAAGATGGCAGTTCCGGCCGAAATTAAAAAACCTGATATTTTTAATACAAACTGACTAGAAATAATTAGAAAAATATTTTATTTAAACAATTTCTGTCCTTGATATTAGATTCTTCAGCCCCACGACATCCTGAGAAACTGGAGTTCTCTCTTTGATATAATCTTACTGTCAACTCCTACATATTCGAACCACACCTAGACAACCTGCAGCATTGTATTATCCAAGAAACCTCAGGCTAGTCTACCTGCAGGAGCCATGTGAAACATGATAGGTCATGTTCTGGTTAATCCAAAGAACCACTATTACAACTTCCTCTTTTATCCCAAGTATCCAAGGGGTCCTATATCTATACCTATACCTATAAAAGGCTAATATGCAAAGTGTCCCCTGGGAAGTTTGACTAGACCAGGAGTTTGATCGCTTGCTATGATGTGCGCTGACCACCAGGGGATGGCGCGGAATGAAGGCAGGCCCCGGCCAGCAGCCAGCAGCTGGGGAAGGAAGGCCTTGGCTGGCAGCCAGAAGAAGACCCTGGCCAGCAGCTGGAAGGCCCCGATTGGCCCTGATTACCAGCCAGGCCTAGGGACCCTACCCATGCACAAATATTGTGCACCGGGCCTCTAGTTAGCATTATAAACAGAGCCTGCTTAGTATGAAACAAAACGTATAAAATTATGAATCCATTCAACTAAACTCTGTTCTTGGTTCTGCTATGGTTAGTTTACTCTTTAAATTTCAGTTTCTCCATATATAGATATCATAGGTTGTCAGTTTTCCAAAGATGTTCAACAATTTTAAAAAAAAAGTACATTTAGAAGCTAAGTCAAGTTGCTAAGGGGAATGGCAGTGCATGACATTACAAGCCCCTTAATGGTTTACCACAGAGTTAGAAAACCTTTAAAGACTGCATATTGCACTAGCTGGTTTGGCTCAGTGGGTAGAGCGTTGGCCTGCGGACTGAAGGGTCCCGGGTTTGTGCAGGAGGCAACCAATCGATGTGTTTCTCTCACATGGATATTTCTCTGTCTTTCCAGCGCTTTCTCTCTCTAAAAAGCCAATGGAAAGATCCTCTGCTGAGGACTAAAAATAAAAAAACAACAACTGCATATCAAATTCATTTCTATTTGTTCATATATATTTTCAATGCAGTGGGGAAAGAGGGAGAATGAAATTCTCTTGGAATTAAGTTTTGTTCTGTCTAGGATAGCTGAGAGGCAAATAGACTTGAAATGTGAACTCTTACAACTACTGGATTATGGCTCAAATACAAAAACTTCCCATATGCAAAGGAAAAACTTTAGATAGAAAAAAAACCATGATAATACAAACTCAGTTTTACTTCATTTTTAAAGGAAAAGGAATATATAACTAGTTTGTTTCAGTTTTAACTAATTTATTTTAGCCTATGATGCATCGGTTGTAGAATTGAAACTAAGGAGTTACCATAAACCATTCTGATGTCCTCTTTAGAAACTAAAGCATAAAGAAAGCAAAAATCTTTGAATAGAAACATCATCAGTAGAAAAAAGCTAAACTATGGGGTACATAGATTGCTGAACCTATTTATACTTAAACTATTTAAGATAATTTAAATACAATAGATATATGCATATACATAATACTCAAAGAAAAATCACCAGCATGAAACCCAAGGTCTGAATTCTACTTCTGTCACTTATCCCTCACACAGAAATGATTTCTCTTTAAATCTGAAAGCCCATGTTCCTTTCTTTCATACTTAGGTTTTCCTTGACCTCTCCTCTTATCATATCTCCAACTCCCATCACCCAGCGTTAAGCTAAAATTTCCTTGTATTTTCTGGCATTCTCCCTCCTAAACACAACAACTAATCTACCTTTAAACATATTTCCTCTATTCTACAATATCTTTGACCTACATTACTAAACTTCAGAGGGCCCTGTAAGAATAGGCTACGACAATAAAACAGTGCTTCTCTAGGAAGGATTGAGGTACCCTTCTTCGTTCTCCCCAAGAGATCCTTGGATGTTCCTAAGAGGTGGTAAAGAATGAAGCAGTTAACAAAACACTTCCTTCCACAAATAGCTGGCATTCTTTTCTTAAATGTCTCGCCTTTCTTGAACTCTCTTAACCTTAGCTCTGTCCTTACACTCCAAAACGATGAATATCTGTCTCTATCCTTACATCCTACTTCTCACTCTCAGACCCCACAAAGGAAATAGGTTTCAACAAAACAGAAATTCTAGAACAGTTTCTGGAGTTGGCAGTGGAGCGATAGACTACAAATGAAGTGCAGATTGTTTAAAAAAAAAAGGACAGTTCCCCCGTGTGGCTCAGTGGTTGAGTGTCAACCAATGAACCAGGAGGTCATAGGTTGCAAGGCCCAATCCCCAGTGGGGGGCGTCCAGGGGGCAGTCCAAAGATGATTCTCTCTCATCATTGATGTTTCTATATCTTAATCCCTTTCCCTTCCTCTCTGAAATCAATAAAAATATATATATATATTTTTTTTTTTTACAAAAAGGACAATGTAAGTGAGTACTTAATTGAGGTGTGGTGGAAAAGTGTTCTTTGGTAGTTAGAGGGAAAAGAAGATCTCAGCATTTATTTATCATCTTCCATAAAAAATTTTACATTACCAATTAGCAAAGGTTTGGAATCACTGAGGTTGGAGCCTCAGTCTGTTCATCTGTGAAATGATGACACTAACAGTACCTTCACCTCACAGGGTAATTGAGAGAATTAAACAGATGACACATGCTAAGAGCACAGTACCTGCACACAGAAAGACTAACATACATTACCTTAAAATCTTCACGTTTTATTGTAAAATCATATGTACAAGTTATCCTACTCATTCGCTTAACATTTCAATGTAGAAACTTAGAGCTACCCCGGAATACTGACTTAGATAACACTCAATTAACCAGGGGCAAAAGTTTTATGCTAAAATAGAACTTTCCTGAAAAATACTCAGTAGTCATTACATTGATACAGTGACCGTCATTAAACTTTACAAAATGCAAATACAGCTGTAATCATATGCAGCTGTTCCTTTCAAAATTAAGTCATTATTTGTTCTCTCTCCTCCCCGCCACCCCCCAGTACTACAGTACTCTGCTTTCACTAAAAGCCTTTTAGCAAGTCGCAGCTTCTTCGATATCAAAGCCTTTTGGAAACCTGGCTCGGAGGAAGCCACACGCTGTTTGCAGCGCTGGAAAGGCTCCGTGTGGTCACTCTAGGACAACTGTCAGCTGTCACCAGCACGTCTGGATGTCCAACAGGGACTTGGGTCAGGAGAAGGGTAAGAACAGGCAGGTGTCTGAAACAGAGTCGACAGCTAGGGTGCCCCGAAAAGGGAGAGGTTCTAACTGAGAATCGCGGAGGACGCAGGTCTGCCTGCGGGGAGCAGTCTCGCGCGGAGGGAGGACCAATTCTAAGGGGTGCACCGCCGGCGCCCGCAGGACAGGGCCGCAGGTGTGGCCCTCCGTCGGCGACCCCAAGGCTTTCTCCCCGGCGCCGCCGCCCCTTCCCCCGGCCCTCCCGCTACCTTTCTCGTCCTCGTCGATGCGCAGGGCGACGGAGATGTAGTCGAAGGCCTGTTTGTGGAAGGCTCGGACCAGCTCGGCCTCCGCGCCCGGCACCGGCAGCGGGGGCGAGGCCGAGGCCGGCGCGGTCGGGGAGCTCCTCTTGGCGGCCATGAGGGCGCGAGAGAAGCGCTGGCAGAGCCACGCGAAGAGGAGCCCCAGGTGGAAGGCGACTAAACGCAGCAGCGCGAAGGCGACGAACAGCGGGTAGGAGAAGTAGTACAGGTTCCGCTTATGCGGCGACTCCGGCGGAGGGACCGGCCTGGGGGCGGGCCGGGCGGGGGCCGGGCAGGGGGGCGGAGGCCTGGGAGGCACCGGGCTGCTGGGGCCGCCGGAGCCTTTCTTCTTCCGTCGTCCGCCCGGAGAATTCATCCACAGCTCCCACTGCCGCCGCCGCCATAACCCGCCTCCCGCACACCGACGGCGACCAAATGACGGCAGCGGCCACTGGGACGGCGAGGGCCGCAGAGCCCCGCGCGCCGGCCGGTCCCGGGAGCTCGGCACCTTCGCGCCCCGCCCGCCGGCCCCGCCCCTTTCTCTGCGTGCGGCCAAGAGCACAACCCCTTCTCCCTTCCTGAGGTCGGTGGCTTCTACCCCTCCCTCTCTCTGTCCTCTCAGGCCGCCTCTAGGAGCTCAGAGCCGCGGCCGCGCGTGCACGCACGCCCGTCTCTTTCTCCGGCGCGCGCGCGCGTACGCCGGCGTCTTTGTTGCCCAGAGCTCCTCGTGCGCGTGTGCGGCGTTCTCCCCTCGGCCCTTTCTCCGTGGAACTACAATTCCCAACGTGCAGTTCGGCTCTACGTCGTCGTCAAGGGCCGACGCTCGGCCGACTTCGCTGCGCCTGGGAGCTCCTTGGTTGGCGACCTTGTTCCCCGAGTCTAAGGGAAGGACGGCTGAGGTTTGAGGTCGTTCTGCTTGCTCGCAGGGCTCCTTTCTCCGAGTGTTATCGTTTTAATGATTTCTTCCAGTATTGTCTCAAAGGATGATTAATCTGAGTCCCGTCTCAGAAGCAGTGGGTACCAATCTGGGAATTACCTGAAAGGGAAACAATTGTAGAGACCAAAACGAAAATGTTAGCTCAATGGGATGAAGTCAACGATTCCAGAGGTTTAACTAAATTAATACGTGTTTAGATGAAGAATTAATTTATTTGAGTTAAGGGAGTTCTTAAGTTTTGCACAGTAATTGTCCCATAGTTTACCGAGGAATCCACACTGCTACTCCCCCTCCCCCTTTTTAATCTACTCGCCGAACCCTCCTTTGGGGATCTACCTACTCACCTCTGCTGCCTGTATTCTAATTAACTGCAAGCACAAAACCCCACCTCCCAGATCACAGAGATGGAAATGCTAGGTCAGTCAGTTATACGCTCCTAGGAATCTTGGATGGAGACCCACTAGCATAGAAGGCAGAAGGAACTGAGTAAGAGCAGGTCTCTCAGTTATCTCACTGAGAGCCCCAGAGATGCCAGGTTCCTAAACTGGTCACTTGATGATGTAACCTAGCCAATAGACTATTCAATCTGTTTCTCTATTTCTTTTTTTTTTTTTAAATATATTTTATTGATATTTTACAGAGAGGAAGGGAGAGAGATAGAGAGTTAGAAACATCGATGAGAGAGAAACATCGATCAGCTGCCTCCTGCACATCTCCTACTGGGGATGTGCCCGAAACCCAGGTACATGCCCTTGACCGGAATCGAACCTAGGACCTTTCAGTCCGCAGGCCGACGCTCTATCCACTGAGCCAAACCGGTTTCGGCTGTTTCTCTATTTCTGTTCCTCTCTCTATCTCGCAATATATTTTTATTGATTTCAGAGAAGAAGGGACAGGGAGAGAGAGAAACATCAATGATGAGAGAGTCCCATTGACTGGCTGCCTTCTGCACACCCCACAATGGGGATTGAGCCTGTGCCCTGAACGGGAATCAAACTGTGACCACCTCGTTCTTAGATCAACACTCAGCCACTGAGCCATGCCGGCTGGGCACCACCATGGGTTCTGAATCCAAACACAAAGATGAGACCTGGTGTAGTCTTACACATTTTGGCTAGTTTTTCCTGGAATTTCTGTCTTGGGTACTATTGCCTTCCGGGGTGAAGGACATCAATGACTATTGGTTTCGGCTGAAGTAGTCTGCTGGTCATGGACTTCCTGCTCTGGATAGTCATTCACGGTAAAGACTGATCCTCAAGTAGCCAGAGAGGAAAAGAGACCCACTCTTCTCTGGCCAATCATGTAAACTCAAACTGGTATTCATCATCTTGATTAATCCTTCCCTTATCATCTCCAGCAGACACTATCCTATTTTTTCCCTTTTTATTGAATTTATTAGGAAGGAATTTGAGGCTCTAAAAGTCTGTTACTGCCCAACATAACATATTAATGACACACACTACTTCAGGGTCTTAAGAGAAAAACCTAGGCTTCCAGAGAAAACAATTTCATGTAGTCTGTTTATATCTTATTATGACAAATATATTTTTAGCCCCTGAAGGATGAGTTATTTTTCATTCCTGGTCATACAGGTGTTGAGTTTCCAGCCTCTGGCTTCCCATTTGCTAACTCTCTGCTAGTTGTGCTTAATATTGACTGCTTTTCTGTACCTTGGCCATTTTTTTTTTTTTTTGGTATGGTAAAAGTACGTATTAGAGTCAGAAAGACTGCCCAGCCAGTGTGGCTCAATGGTTGACCATTGACCCATGAACCAGGAGGTCATGGTTTGATTCCCAGTCAGGGAATATGCCTGGGTTGTAGGCTTGATCCCCAGTGCGGGGCATGCAGGAGACAGCCAATCAGTGATTCTCTGTCATCATTGATGCTTCTATTTCTCCTCCCTTCCTCTCTCTTATATCAATAAAAACTTTTTTTTCTTTATTGATTAAGGTTTTACATATGTGTCCTTATCCCCTCATTACCTCCCTACCCCCCGACTTGTGCCCTCACCCCCCTGGTGTCTGTGTCCATTGGTTAGGCTCATATGCATGCATACAAGTTCTTTTTAATATATTTTTATTGATTTTTTACAGAGAGGAAGGGAGAGAGATAGAGAGCCAGAAACATCGATGAGAGAGAATCATCGATCAGCTGCCTCCTGCACATCTCCCACTGGGGATATGCCCGCAACCCAGGTACATGCCCCTGACCGGAATCGAACCCCGGGACCTCTCAGTCCGCAGGCCAACGCTCTATCCACTGAGCCAAACCGGTTTCGGCATGCATACAAGTTCTTTGGTTGAACTCTCCCCCGACCCCCACCCTCCCCTACCTTCCCTCTGAGGTTTGAAGGTCTGATCGATGCTTCTCTGTCTCTGGTTCTGTTTTTGTTCATCAGTTTATGTTGTTCATTAAATAAAAACATTTTTTAAAAAAAGAGTCAGGGCTTAGCTGGTTTGGCTCAGTGGATAGAGCATTGGCTTCTGGACTGAAAGGTCTCGGGTTCGATTCTGGTCAGGGGCACATGCCAAGGTTGTGGGCTCCATCCCCAGTAGGGGTGTGTAGGAGGCAGCCAATCAGTGATTCTCTCTCATCATTGATGTTTCTATCTCTCCCTCTTCCTTCCTCTCTGAAATCAATAAAAATATATGTAAATTAAATAGATAAATAAAAAATAAAGAGTCAGAAAGACTAGGGTTGGTATTCTGGGCCTGTCACTTATTAGTTGCTCAAAGAGAGACATCAATGGAACAGGTTCTTTAACTAGTTAACTCCTTTGTGAAATGGGTAGAATAAAATTAGATTACAAAATGAAAGAATACATCTAAAACCTCCAGCATAATACCCATAACATAAGAGGGCTCAATAAATTTTGGTTTTGTCTCTTACAACTACAAAGCCATTCCAGAATTCAGACTCTACTGGGATCTCTATTTTTAGTAATTTCAGTCCACATTTTCTGCCACTTGGAATTGCATCCCAGTCAAACACATTTTCTTAATTAACATGATCCTAAGTTTGTCTCAAGGAAAATAGTGCCTGCATTTTACCCTGGCCTTATAATCTGCCTGGACTGAAGATCCTAACCTTCTCAGCCATTTAACCTACAGTTTGACAGCCCCCCTGTTTTCAGATGGTGAGAACTTGGAGAACACTTAATCTTGAGCGGAATCTGGGCCAGTTTCACCAGAACAAAAAGGAGGAGCAGAGCACTGTGCTAACTAATTCAGGACATTCGGTCACTTTATCACTTTAATCCATTAATCTAATTACAAAGTGACTACCACCAAATAGTTTTTTGGATATTTTAGCTCTTCTTCTCTTCTAAGGCACCCTTTAAACCTTCTGCTTGAAATCTATTGATTGATAACGGCTCAAAATTTAAAAACAAACAACAAAACAGACACTAGTTTGAAATTCTCTAGTTACAGAGGATTTGTTACTGGTGAAAGTATGAATGAGCTCATAGTTTTGAAATAGTAGTAGGTGTAAGAGTAGAAATTGTTACTTAACCTGTTCAACTTGATTTTTAAAGTGATGATTCTGTGGAAGCATAAGCAGAGTCAGTTGATACAGAATTATAAATGAATATCCTAAAATGGCAATCTAGATTATCAGAGGATGTACACTCTAAACAAAGTACTTGGATATAAAATATAATTTTACAGTTCTATATTTATGGTGGGCATGATTACTCTAGTGCACATGAAAAGCAGATAATGGGAATTGTTAGCACAGGGTGAATATTGGAAACATAAAAGGAGTTGTCTGTTTTCAAGCATGGTTTCTATCAGCTGCAGCAGTTTCAGAAAGTTTTCTTTGTCCTTGAGATCCTCCTCCACATCTTGTTGGATAAGCTCAGTTCCTGTATTCTGGTAAGAAAGCCTGAGTTTCTTAATTTGTCTTCATTACTGTGTCAGTCTATGTTATGTTCACCCTGATCCTCGAAGCTTTGCTTAAATATTTATTCTTTGTGCAACATCACTCTAGATATACCTACTTACATTTTTCTCAATCTCATCTGGACTCCTCCAGAATTTATGCTTCAGCATTCCTCTCAACCTTTTAAAAATTATTTATTTTTCACTTTTAAATATATTTTTATTGACTTCAGAGAGGAAGAGAGAGGGAGAGATAGAAACATCAATGATGGGAGAGCATAATTGACTGGGTACCTTCTGCACATCCCACACTTGGGATCAAGCCCACAACCAGGGCACATGCCCTGGCCAGGAATTGAACCTCGACCTCCTGGTTCATAGGAGCCACACCATCTTAACCTTTAATAAATCATTATTTACTATTGTCATTTATACGTATCACTTATATGTCTGATCTTTGTTGAACAAGAATACAAATGTATGAGGGTAGGCACTGTAATTTTTATATATCTTAAACTCCCTAAGAGTTTAAGATCCCCAAGATCACCTCCAGGTTTGATTTGCTAGGAGGACTTACAGGATTCAGAATATAGTCATACTCACAACTTGATTTATTACAGCAAAAAGATATAAAGCGAAATCAGCCAAGGGAAAAACACACGGGGCAAAATCTGGGGGAAATAAAGCACCAGTTTCTGAGTCTTCTCTCACTGGACTCACACAGGACACAATTAATTCCTCCAGCAATAAGTTCTGACAACACATGTGAAATGTTGTCAACCAGGGGCACTCATCAGAAACTCAGTGCCTG